TCTTTTTACTGCATCTATAGCCAAAGCCCCCCCCCCCAGTCAAGACTCCTGAGCCATTACATCACCACAGAGAGGTATCCATCTGTCCTGCCTGGTTTTATGACAAGTTGGCACAAGCTAGAGTCATCAGAGAAGGAGCCTCAGTTGAGGAAATGCCTTCATAAGATTCAGTTGTAAGTCATTCTCTTAGTAAGTGATCAATGGGGGAGGGCCCAGGAACTGTGAGTGGGGCTACTCCTGGGCTGATGATCCTGGCTTCTGTAAGAACAAGGCTGAGTAAGCTGTGATGAGCAACCCAATAAGCAGCACCCCTCCATGGCCTATGCATCAGCTCCTGCCTCCAGGTTCCTGCCCTGTTTGAGTTCTTGTCCTGACTTCCTTCAGTGATGAACAGTGATGTAGAAGTGTAAGCCAATTAAACCCTTTCCTCCCCAATTTGCTTGTTGGTCATGGTGTTTCTTCACAGCAATAGAAACTCTAAGACACCATCCATAAATTTTATTTAATGAGCTCATCAAAGATATTTCTATGGTCATTCATTATGTGTAGTTTTTTGCTCATTTGCTTTTGATTTGTTTGAGGTAGAGTCTTTTATAGCCCAGGATAGCCTCAAACATACTATCAACCTGAAGACGACCTTGAATTCCTGATGTTTCCACCTCTCAAGAGATGACACTGTAAGCATGCACCACCACACCAAGTTCATTGATTTTTTTTTAACCTTAGAAGTAACATAGGTTTTTATAACGTTTTTTAGAAACATACTTTTAAATTAGAATCAGTACTTATCTTATATACCAGATAATGGCTGATGATGGATTCATTTGGTGGATGATAGGTTATGTTCTCACTGTGATGATGAAGATGTAAAAACATAAAGAATATAAGGTTTTCTAAGACAAATTTTCCTTTTTAGGTAAAAGAAATTTGATTAATTGCCTCTCATAATTATCATCGATGAGATGAACTAATATGCAGTGCTTAATAACATTACCTTGGAGCTTAGACCCTTTTCTTAAAATTTGGTTTGTTACTATGTTGTGGACTTTAAAAGAAAATTAACCATTGCTTATTTACAGCAACACAGAAACCAAATAGAAAAAAGTCTTCATTAAATACTGTATACAAGAAGTTCCTTTCTTATATTTGTAATTTTATTTTTAAATGTGACAATTCTATATATGTATACAATGCATTTCAGCCATTCTTACTCCCTCCCACCTTTCTGTTTAATCTTCCAACTCCTTCAAATGCCCCTCTTTACAAGTCCCTTTCACATATCCATATCTTTGCATTTTGTCTTGTGACCCAAAGAGTTTAACCACAGCTGTCTGTGTGACTCTGGGTTTTAGAAATGCACTGGAGCCTAGCTGGCTCTCCTGTGAGTATACATGTGAATTTAGTGACTGCCTCTCTCCTATAATCTACCAGTAGCAATAGTTCAGCAGAGTGGAATATGGTCTTGTTGAGTCCCTCTCTGAACCTTGCTGTGCTGATGAGGGACCCGGTCTTGTGCAGGTAGCTGTAGATGTTGTGAGGCAGACCATAGTTGCAATGGCTTTCCAGTCCTTCTTCTCATCTTGTAGCTTCTGTACTCTTTCCACTAATCTTCCACACTGTCCTAAGCTTTAGAGGAGATGGTATACATGTCCTGTTTAGGGTTAATCACTCAAGTGTCACTTACTCTATACCTGGAGCAGCCATGAGCCTCTACATTTACCACATTTCATTACAGAGGGAATCTTTTCTGGGTAATGCTGATTTAGCATTTGTCCATGAGTATAAATATAAATACTTAGAAGACAGTTTGCAATCACATCTCTTTAAACAACTGTAGAAAGAACCTGAGACCTCTGTAGCTTGAAGTTTTTCTATGTTCCATCCAGTCCTGCAGCCGCTCAGACCCAAATAAACACACAGAGGCTTATATTATTTATAACTGTATGGTCTATGGCAGGCCTCTAGCTAGCTAGCTCTTACATCTTAAATTAACCCATTTCTATAAATCTATACCTTGCTACATGGCTTGTGGCTTACTGGTACTTTACATCTTGCTTCTCCTGGTGGTGGCTAACAGTGTCTCCTCTCCACCTTCTTCCTGTCTCTCTATTGGCCAATCAATGTTTTATTTATCAACCAATCAGAGCAACATATATCTACAGCACACAGAATGACATTCCACAGCACTTCCCCTTTTCTATCTAATCAAAAGGGAAGGTTTTAACTTTAACACAGTAATATTACATATAATAGAACAGTTATCAAGCAAGAATTACAGTTCCAATATCTAGTCTATTTGTGTTTGGCAAAATTAAAGAAAAACCTTATAGAAACTGCCAAATGTTCATGTATAAGCTATCTGAACTCCAGTGGAAATGTTAGATTAAGGAGATTTAAAGAAGCTACAGTATCATATGGTATGCATTCTCCATTTGTAAAGCAGATGTTAAACTTGTGGTCAACTTGTAATAGAATTATCCCTCAGGACTGGAATAGCCTGTGAGGCTGCATTCTCTGATCCAGTTGCTTTGAAGCTGATTTTGGGTGTTGGATGATATGGGCCATGGTGTCACTGGAGAGCTTTCAGGGGGTCTTAACTCATCAAACCATATGAGCCTGGAAGCAATCCACAGGTTCTCATCTTCTGTGGAAACAAAAGCAGAACCTCTTTTCCAAAGCAACATATCCTTAGACAAAAATTTTGAAGTCAAGATACATTTAAAATATATATATTGGTTTAACTCAGCAGCCTTTACAATCAAATGTCTTTCTGCAGTTAAAAATCCCAAAGACAATATAATCCAGACTCTGTGTGTGATTTCCACCTTTACATGGCTTATTTTTATATTACTTTTACTCTCTTTAAAGACTTTATTTTTTTAAAACTTTCTATTTCTTTATATAACTGTCTATATACCTTTACCTCATTCTTTTAAGCCTACATACATTTTTACATACATGTAAACTGTTTAGGGTTTATCCCATCTGAATCTGTCTTATTGTGAATCTATTGCTTTAAACTGAAGAGTGGTCAGGACAGAGAAGCAGCAGCCTTGGCTGCTGACTCCACCCACCTCAGCTTTTCAACATGACAGTGGTACATTTACTGCCAACTCTGGGGGAATCATGTTCATGGATGACTCTGTGAAGCAGTGGTTTGTGGTGGTATTGTGTTCCCCAAAATATTGTGCACTCTAATGAATTTATCTGGGGTCAGAGAACAGAACAGACACAATATTAAACATAGATGTTAGGCAGTGGTAGCACATGCCTTTAATCCTAGCATTCCAAAGGCAGAGATCCTGTGGATCTCTGTGAGTTCACGGTCATGCTGGAAACAGCCAGGCATGGTGACTCACACCTTTAATCCTAGGAAGGATGGCTGGAAGCAGAAAGGTATTTAAAGCATGAGGACCAGGAACTAGGCTGGTTAAGCTTTTAGGCTTTTGAGCAGCAGTTCAACTGAGATCTATTTGGATGAGGACTCAGAGGCTTCCAGTGTGAGGAAACAGGATCAGCTGAGGAATTGGCAAGGTGAGGTGGCTGTGGCTTGTTCTGCTTCTCTGATCTTCCAGCGTTCACCCCAATACCTGGCTTCAGGTTTGATTTTATTAGTAAGACCACTTAAGATTCATGCTACAGTGGTTCTACATTTTCATCCAATAGCGTGTAGCCCAAAACCCTTTTCTTTCTTTCCTTTTTCTTTGTGTGTGTGGGTGTGTGTGTGGACTAGCAAAAGCTATATCCACCATGCACCATGTTGCATGGCTTCGAGACACCTCTGTGTACCGCAGCAGGATTCCGTCATGCTTGCACTCAAGTCCCCACATGCCTCGAACCCATCATAGTGTAGTTCAAGCTCACAGGCCACAGCTGGCCTGAGAGACACACTAGGAAGCTGGTTTTGCTCAGTTTTAGAATTTTTGTTTTTTTTGGTTTTTTTGTTGGTGGGGTTTTTTGTTTTGTTTTGGTTTGGTTTTTGGTTTTTTGAGACAGGGTTTCTTTGTGTAGCTTTGAGCCTTTCCTGGATCTCACTCTGTAGACTAGGCTGGCCTCGAACTCACAGAGATCCACCGAGTGCTGGGATTAAAGGCGTGAGCCACCACCACCCGGCTAGAATCTGTTTTTAAAATTTTCTCAAGTTTTCGGTAGAAATTCTTGATTCACATTGGGCAGCCAAATGTAGCTTGAAGTTTTCCTGTGTCCCACCTGGTCCTGCAGCTGGTAAGACCCAAATAAATACACAGACACTTATATTATCAATAACTGTATGGTCTATGGCAGGCCTCTTACTAGCTAGCTCTTACATCTTAAATTAACCCATTTCTATAAATCTATACCTTGCCACATGGCTTGTGGCTTACCGTACTTTACATCTTGTTTCTCCTGGCAGCAGCTAGCAGCATCTCCTCTCCACCTTCTTCCTGTCTCTCTACTGGCCAATCAGTGTTTTATTTATCAACCAATCAGAGCAACACAGCAGACCCCAGTTGCTTTTTTGTTTTGTTTTGTTTTTTGGGTTTTTTTTGTTTGTTTGTTTGTTTTTTGTTTTGGCTAGATTTACAGGGGAAAAAAATTGCTGCTATAGAAACCAGCCTTCAGCATGCCAGGAATTGAAGGGAAGCCACCCCAGGAAATGAAGGACTAATCATTCCATTGACTTTTCTATCTGAGAGTGTAACCTTAATTCTCTCGGCCCAGCCAAAAGGGAATCACACACACACACACACACACACACACACACTCACACTCATACACACACACACACACACACACACACACACACACACACACACACATCTCCAACATGTGAGGATCTCACCTAGGGTGCTGATGGGTGGCAAGCCTTCAGTAGGTCAGAGAAACTGAAGAGGAGATGCAGAGCAGGTGAATACTGGACAGACAAACAGACACACTAGGACTTTTCTGAGGGTCAAAGCTTAGTTCTTCATTTTATTATTGTTTCCATTGCTATTGGTGAAGTTATTAAGGCTACTCCATGTAGTTAAAAGGGAGGTTTATTTTGTGGGGTAACTTACAAGTGAATGGATAGTTTACAGAGTCTGAGAAAGGCGTGGCACAGTCCAGCAGTGTTCTCTGGAGAACTCTGCTCGGTCTACCTCCAGCGTCCAGGGTCCAGGAACTAAGAGAGCCGGCATCTGGATCCCAGGTCTTCAGCATCCTCTCTCAGCCCCGCCTTGTAGGCGGACCATTACCAAAGCCTCAATGGGGGTTAGAGCTTCCAGGTCAAAGCTGGAATGACTACCCACTATACACTGCTTATTCTATTATATCCTTTTTCTGTTCTGTTCTTCTACCCTGACGTTTCCCTTCTTTCTCTTTCCTGATGACTTCCTTCTCACTGCTTCCTGATGACTTCCTTCTCACTCCTTCCTGATGACTTCCTCCTCCCTACTTCCTGATGACTTCCTCCTCACTACTTCCTGATGTCCTCATTCTCACTACTTCCTGATGGCTTCCTTCTAAATTCTGTATTTTTTCCCTTACAGCTTATATACCCCAGCAGACTCTTTCAAGAAAAATAAAAAATACAATGTATTTACAATCTATTTTTAAGCGAATGATTACAATGAATACAAGTAAAAAAAAAGCATGTTTCCCATTTTCCTTACATGATTAAACATTTTATGTATTACAAGTGAAAAGTAAATTGTCCCCAAGCACCCACATATTTAAACATTTATCTTTTAAAATTCTCATAGATCAGGAGCCTTTCAGCCATAACTGCTAACACAGACAGTAGTTTTTACAATTGCCGTAAAAACAGATACTAGTTTCACTTTTCATATTTTAGAGTTTGCCCAATTATTTTAACTAACCATCCAATTCTTTGTTTTCTAGTTACATGAAGTATTATTTAAAGCTTTGTTTTAGCTATGATGCACTCCAAACTCCATGAACACATTTTCCAATATGGAAAAGATCTTGAGCTAATTCCTCCGACTCGATTGTTTTCCTTAATCATTCACCTAAACCACAGTCAATAGGCTCCTCAAAAGAAACTCATAAGTCCCAGCTGATGACACCTCCTTGGTCCTATTTTCTATGCTCTGCAGCCCCAATTCATCAAGGGTGAGGACAACACTATATCTTATGTTTACCTTTAATAATTTTCCTACTAAAATAACCTCTATCATAATCCCTTACTACATGTGTTAAAAACCCTTAATCATCAAAATTCTATTTAAACTACCACTATTATTGTATAAAATCATTACTTCAGTTAAACAATACAGGTCAGGAGGAAATCATCTTCATAATAATCCAGTTAAAAGGCCCAGTAGAACAGGAAATTTCCATGAGATAATCACATTACATTCAAGGCAGTGGAGATCCCCCACCCCCATTCACACCATGCCAGATACCAGAGAAATACAGCCGCAGCAAACATGTAAAGGCACAGCAGAAGCAAGAGACATTCTGAAGCCAAAGCCCTCAGGGACTTGCCTATCCAAGATTCACCCATCAGTGCCTTACATTCTAGTGGGCCAAACTCCTGAATTCAAGTGCTCCCTGATGTTCCCCTGACATGGCCACCAGCAAAGTTTTTATTTTTTTAAATGTCAGATTAATTCAAAGAAAGTGGAAGAGTGATTTTAAAATGTCTCTTTTTCTTAAAAGCTAATAACTGCACATAGGTAATTGATAAGAAGATAATCATTATACAAGCTAAGGCCACGTGATTCTTCCAGAAACTACATGTTGAGAGGAAGATATCATGGGGATAGAGAGAAACCAGGTGCTAGCGAACTTCCCAGGAATCCCCAGGGAAGATCCTAACTTAGACTACTAGAAATAGTGGAGAGGGTGCCTGAACTGAACTGGCTTGCCCCAGAGATCAGATTGGTGAATACCCTAACTGTCATCACAGAACTTTTCTCCAATGACTGATGGAGGCAGATGCAGAGATCCACAGCCAGGCACCAGGAAGAGCTCCAGCAGTCCAGTCAGGGAGAGAGAAGAGGGATTCTATGAGCAAGTGCATCAGGATCATGATGGGGAAACCTGCAGAGACGACCAAACCAAACTAGTGGGAACTCATGAAAGTTGGATCAAAGGCTGTGGAGGTGGGATCAGAATCCATCTCTGGTGCATGAGTGGGCTTTTTGGAGCCCACTACCTATGATGGGACAACTCTCACAACCTTGAGTGGGAGGGGCTTGGACTTGCCTCTACTGGATGTGCCCCTTCATGGGAGGCCTTGCCTTCTTGTGGGGAGGACTTGGGTGTGGATTGGGAGGGAGAGGTGGGGGGGAGGAGGAAAGAGGGAGATCTTTGATTGGTGTGTAAAATGAGTGGAAAAATTTTCTTAATAAAAAAATTAAATAATAAATAAATAATACCAAAAAATAATGTCAAATTAATTCAAGGAAAGTGGAAGAGTGATTTAAAAATGTTTGTTTTTCTAAAGAGCTTATAACCGCACATAGGTAATTGATAAGAAGATAATCGTTATACAAGCTAAGGCCACATGATTCTTCCAGAAGCCCCATGATGAGCGATCAATGCCCTGGATCATCAAAAATTCTTCACCAGTACATCTGTAATTCAACACACACACAAATAATGTCAAAGATTATTCAGTACATTCACTGATGCTTCTTTTTAAAAACTCATAGTTTCAACACATCATTACAAATTCCTCTTTATATTCAATTGATGGTAGTAATGAAGTACTTACAATTTTGTTATTATTATGTCAATCTAACCTACTTGTATCAGGTCACTTTGTTAATTTAAAAAAACGTCCAAAGAGGTGTAGCTATCACATATATTTAAAAGCATAGAGGAAGTAGTAAACTGAACTGAGTTTAGAGAGTCATACTAGAATCTAACTTTGTAGTCTTCAAGGTGTCATCCACTTCTAAAACTATAATGCTACCCTCTCCTCAAAGGGCAAAGGCATGGATGAAGTACTTGTTTCTCCTGAAGTGGAAAACCTCAGCTTCCTACAGACACTCTAAGAGATCAATCTTTGTGCAGTTCTGCTGACTCAGTAGACAGTCATGCAATAAACACAGCATCAAATTCTAGACCGAGGACCAGAGAGACTAAGGGTTCCTGACAGGAGTTAGTCCATTCCTGTCAGCTCTTCAATTAAGGGAGCAGGACAACCACAGATGTTCAGCTATGGAACATCCCCAGCAGCCCATGGCTACAGACAGAGCCTGGGTAGCAGTTGGAGCACAGCAGGATGCAGGGGCCCTGACACAGATTAGAAAAGCTGCTATTGCTAAAAATTCTGGATATATTACAATTACCACCTGTGTGTCTCCATCCCTGTGTGTCTCCATCCCTGTGTGTCTCCATCCCTGTGTGTCTCCATCCCTGTGTGTCTCCATCCCTTTGTGTCTCCATCCCTGTGTGTCTCCATCCCTGTGTCTCCATCCCTGTGTGTCCATCTCTGTGTGTCTCCATCCCTGTGTGTCTCCATCTCTGTGTGTCTCCATCCCTGTGTGTCTCCATCTCTGTGTGTCTCCATCCCTGTGTGTCTCCATCTCTGTGTGTCTCCATCTCTGTGTGTCTCCATCCCTGTGTGTCTCCATCCCTGTGTGTCTCCATCCCTGTGTGTCTCCATCCCTGTGTCTCCATCTCTGTGTGTCTCCATCCCTGTGTGTCTCCACCCCTGTGTGTCTCCATCCCTGTGTGTCTCCATCCCTGTGTGTCTCCATCCCTGTGTGTCTCCATCTCTGTGTGTCCCCATCCCTGTGTGTCTCCATCCCTGTGTGTCTCCATCCCTGTGTGTCTCCATCCCTGTGTGTCTCCATCCCTGTGTCTCCATCTCTGTGTGTCTCCATCCCTGTGTGTCTCCACCCCTGTGTGTCTCCATCCCTGTGTATCTCCATCCCTGTGTGTCTCCATCCCTGTGTGTCTCCATCCCTGTGTGTCTCCACCCCTGTGTGTCTCCATCCCTGTGTGTCTCCATCTCTGTGTATCTCCATCCCTGTGTGTCTCCATCTCTGTGTGTCTCCATCCCTGTGTGTCTCCATCTCTGTGTGTCTCCATCTCTGTGTATATCCATTTCCTTGCGTCTCTTAGAATTTAACAGTCTTCAAATCTGCTGAAAGGGCAAATTTCTTATTCCTCTTGTAAGAACAATCCTTTTGTGAGTATGAGGTCTGTGGAGGGCCCACCTCTGGTTTCACTTTGCCCATCCCCATCCTTCTGACAAGAAACTGGTAAGGAATTTGTATTAGAAGGATGGCAGACCACACCAGGAGAGAGGAGATATCAGAAATAAGATATCCCCCCATATTTGTTTTCTTATCAGTAATTCAAACATAATTTGGGTTACTATTATTCATTATTATTTTGAACATCCAAGAGAGATTTAACACATCAGCATATTCCTCTCTCACTTATATATCAAAATTAAATCAATGAGAGCAATCATAGAAAGAGAAGGTACTGTAACTTTAGAATAATACACTTTAATTTTATTAAATTTCTTTTGTTTCTATTTTAACGGTATTAAACATAAATGATATTTCCTTATTAAGATAGTGAAATATGTGTTTCTTTCATTGCAAGACATGTCCTCTGGTAGGACATTTACACACACACACACACACACACACACACATACACACACACATACACACATACACACACACACACACACACACACACACACACACACACACACACACACACATGGCAGCCATTGATTTCTTGAAGTCCTCTAGAGTGTGAGGCAGAGGGAAGACCCTGAATGCTTACAGGCAAAGTTCAGTCCTTTTGGTCCTTGCTGCCCTGATGTTCTTGGGCTCTGCTCACAGGTACCATAGTCTATACATGTAGAAACTATATGCCCTTGTTAACTATCAGAGCAGCCTAGGTCAAACTAAAATGTTCTGAAACAAGGAACTCAAATCCACAATCAAGACACCAAAATCATTTTTAAAAGCCCCAAAGAACCCTTTCTGCACATTCTACACCATAGAGCAGTAAGATCAAAACACATCCATGTGTGCATTGGTTACAGTGATTCTCTCTGGGAAACTGGGAGAGGACAGAGTGCTAATCCTGAAAGTATGGGTTTTCCTTCTAAGTGTAGGAGCGTTCTATGACCCCATTATGACACTGAACTCCAGCTTACATTACATAGTTCTGACATTTACTGATTTCTGCTGTGTTATGTTCTGTACAGAAGTTTTGTCCCAGGAATTCATTCTGTTGCAAAGCCTGTAACACAAACAGGAACAGGGAAAGGCGAATAGTTTAATATTTGCATAAGTCTCCAAAGAATAAATACAACTATAAATTCAAATTCAATCTTGACTGTAATTTGCAAAAAAAAATTAAACAAACAAAGCCCCACCAAGTTCAGTCTGCCCAGCAAAGCAGTGCCCCTCCCTCACACTCAGGAGGTTTAGGATTGAAATGATGCCTCCCAACTACTAAGAGGTGGACTCTCTAACTAGATTACTTCAGGCACCTCCTTCTCTGTGCAGTCCATAACCATGTAAACACTGTAATTAAAACAATACTGTTGATTTATAGTAATAGTAGTTCTTGCTTCTTTTCATCAAAACCAGTTGTGATCATGGGAGTGAGAAAGTCTATTAAGACACACTTTACTGAAGAGAAAATTTGGCAAAGCCAATATGGCTATGGGTATCACATGGTTTCTGTTTCTTTTAATTTCCTGATATAAACTATATATCTTAGTCCCTGATCCTTTCATAATTACCGTATTGTATACTTTTCATCATGCTATCTATCTTTCCTGTTTACCCTGGGGTTTTTCTCACCCTTTATGAATCTCAAATAACACATGACTGGGGAAAACCCCAGATGACTCATTGACCTTTAGCTAGAATTAGCAGGAAAGTTCTCATCTTTTGCTCCTGGAAGGAAAATCCTGGGCAGCTGCTGCCTAGAGATTATAGGTGGGGGAAGTACTTGGTTGGGATTCATTTCAGTTGCTACGGCTGGAGACCCCAAGGACAGTGACAGACAGGACAACTTACTGTAAATCCGTAATGAGGAATGTTGATGTACTGAATCCATGAGAGCCCAGGTACTAAGCTTTCTGAATATATTGACAGACCCGAGAAAAACTATGAAGAGCAAAACCATGAATTAGAACCAGTCAAGTGACGAAGAACTCTAACCAAGATCCTCACTCTTCAAGATCCCTGTATCCTTCTGACCATTTCTGCTCAGACCAGCTCTTTAAAACATTCTTTCAGTAACTCTAAACAAAATTCTTCACTCTGCAAAGCCAAGGCTCTTTGTGGTTTTTAGAAGAAGGACCTGCCACCCCATTCTGTAGGAGCCAAAGCTTACAGATACTATGTTATTTTTAAAATGGCATGCAGCCTATGAACATTCTTTAAATTTTAAATACTCCCATCCTACATATTTAAAATCCTCTTCAGATTCCTTATAATATCTATTTGGGTAGCTATATAGTTTATACTGTATAGTTCAAGGGATGACGATATTCAGAGCAGAAGTGTCATTTGTTTCATAATTTTCAATATACAATTGGTTGAATCCTTGACAATATGACAGGCCAACTGCAGTGACTATACTAATAAAACTGCTGCCATCTAGAAACATATGCTAGAAGAACACAGTCTTGTCTCATTTTATATCAACTTGATACAAATTAAATTCACTGGAGAGGGGGAACCTCAAGACACTAGAAATGTCTCCAGGGAGGAGCTTGGTCCTACCTCAACTTGATGTACCATGCTTTGTTCAAAGAGGCCTGCCCCTTTCTCAATGGAGGAGGAGGAGTAAATGTGGAGGGAGGTAGAAGGGAGTTGGGGCGGGGGTGAACAGGAGAAATGGAGGGAGGAGAAACTGTGGTTGGTTAAAAAAATAATTAAATAAAATTAAATAAAAAAAGAAAATGTCTCTATAAGATCATCTGTAGGCAAGCCAGTGGGTCGTTTTCTTAATTCGCCACTGAGGTGACAATGCCCAGCCCAGTTGTGGGTGTGACCATCCCTGCTCTGGCCATTTGAGTTTCTAGAAGAAAGCAGACTGAGTGAGCCATTAGAACAACCAGTAGACAGCACCCTCCATGGTCTCTGCATCAGCTCCTGCCTCCAGGTTCCTGCCCATTTGAGTTCCTATTCTGACTTCCTTCAATGATGAGCAGTCATATGGAAGTGTAAGCCAAATAAACCCTTTCCTCTCCAACTTGCTTTTTAGTCATGGTGTTTCATCACAGCAATAGGAACCCTAAGTAGGACATGTGCTGGTCATCATATACCCACTTCTACTTCCAAGGATCAATAAGTCTTGTTATTTGTAAGAGTTTTGGCTCTCTATTCATGACTTTAGGAATAATTTTTAGATTCAGTTAAAATACCACCTTAAGACAACTTCAAGCTTAGAACAGATAAACCACACAATGTGGTGAAGAGCAGCAGAAAACGTGCCCAATCCCCATTTAAAAACAGTGCAAAAGTCAGAACCACAATGGAGATGACAGAAATCACTGATGGGGAGGAACAAGAGGCAGTTATGAGGGTCACGTAAAACTTGTCCTGTCTTAAGTACAGTAGAATTTGCAAAGCAATGACTGTGTGTGCATGCATTCAGACTGTACCTGACAAAATGCTTAAAAAAATATAACATTTGGCATCATAACTAGCTTTTAAGGTCTCATTTAGAAACTTTGTACAATAACCAGTCGTCTTAGTTCCTTCCCTGTAGTTGTGATAAAACACCACGACAAACATAGAAAAGTCGGGAGCTTTTCTAAGTACAAATTACAAACATATGGAAAAGAAATTAAGGAAACAATCTCATTCACAGAAATCTCAAAATGGGGGGTGAGTGGGGGATCTTGGAATAAATCTAACCAAATGTAATACATGTTCAATAAAAAATTTAAGACACTGGGGAAAAAAGATATTGAAGATACTGGACAATTGACAGACCTCCCATCCTTATAGATTGGTAGGATAAAAATTATGAAAATACACATCCTACCAAAAGCAACAAGCAGGTTTATTGCAATCTTCATCAAAATTTCAATACAATTCCAAGAAATTGAAAAACAATACTAAATTTCACATGGAAATACAAAAGACCCAAGTTAGGGGAACAATCCTTAACAACAACAATAAAACTGTGAAATAATCCATCCCCCTGTTGTAGGAGGAATAATTCATCTTCTCTATGGATAAGAGGCTTTCAGTGGGCCTGCCTGCACATCTGGGAACAAGAGCAACAGACTCTGGCAAACTTTACCATCCCATGTGTCCTTCTCTCATAAAGAGGGTAACATGCCATTTGCTCTGGTAGGACCAGGGTCCCATTCAAACGAAAAGGATACTTGAGCTTAGGGATATGCTGTGGGATGTCCTTCTGTATGTTGTGAATGTGTGTTGCTCTCATTGTTAATAATAAAGCTAATTGGCTAGTAGGTAGGCAGGAAGTATGGACAGGATAACCAAACTAAAGAAAGAAGAGGGTGGTGGGGTCAGGCAGATGCCAGCCAGCCAGTGAGGAAGCAAGACATGTAAAAAATGAGGTAACAAGCCATCAACCATGTGGATAAACATAGATAAGAATTATGGGTTAATTTAAGTGTACTAGCTAGTTAGAAATAAGCCTGAGGGAACAGCCAGGCATTTATAATTAATGTAAGCCTCTGGGTGGTTATTCTAGAATTGGTGAGCAGGAGAGAACTATCCATTTACAGAAATGTTCTGCCATACAAATGTAGCAGTCACTCCTTGGGCACATCTGCTGTACATTTAACACAGTTTACCCAAGTATTCAATTCTCTACATCAGTTTTATAAGCATATTATCAAAAGTAAAAACAAAGTGAACTCTAACAATCTATATCCTTTAGATAATGAGGTATTGTTAGGTTCCTTTTGAGAATTAATTTTAAAGATTGCCTGGATGATCCAAAGGGGACAAATTGGGACATATGTACCTGTCCATCAGAGAAAGCTTTCTGGTTTTATTTTGTTTGTTTGTTTGTTTGTTTTCTTAGGTTTTTGTTTTATTTGCTGAGAGTTGGTGGTAGAAATGGCTTTACCAGAGGCAATCAGAGTATACAGCAGGTAACAACTAGTATTCAACAGGTCGACCTAGCAGTTGAATAACTCTTTGATGGGGGCCCCACTTGGCAAAGCTATGGAGTTACTGACTGTAAATGACTGGTTGCTTCTGTCTGTAATTTTTCTCATGTTCCACTGCATTTCTTACCTAAAAACAAAACAACAACAACAAAAACACAGCTGTGGGGTTCCTTCCATAGCCCATTGGTAGTGTGTTTTACATTTTTGGGCCACATATAGCTGTGAATGGTCAGGAAGATGATTTCTGCTTAAGCTGTATAATTCTGATGAACAAAAATAATACTAGGATCTTTTTCATAACTGATATAGGAGGGTAACAGTATTCTCAGCTACAAAGACAGCTAATTTTAGACTTTAGTACAAATTCAAAACAGACTAGCTGATCCTGCAAATAATAATACTCAAGGACAAATTCCCAAGTGTCTGTTAAACCGAAGTCAGGCTGACATCATTAAGACATAAACCCCTGCTGCAGTATTTGACTTTCTGCACCTAATCCCAGCCTCAGTTTATGTTACAGGCTGAAGGTTCAGTCAACTGACCAGTTACTTTCTCACTGGCCACTCAATGTGACCTCGCTAGCCTGAGGAAAACTGTGTGACTTATCACATGTTATGAGCATGAGTTGGACCCAGAAAATGTAACATATTGTCCAGAGTTGGCTGTTGGTCCGTGTGTGTATGTGTGTGTGTGTGTGTGTGTGTGTGTGTGTGTGTGTGTGTGTATGTGAGAGAGAGAGAGAGAGAGAGAGAGAGAGAGAGAGAGAGAGAGAGAGAGAGATGTGTGAAAGAGCTGTTGCTATGTAGAGGAGCTGTGTGAAGGAACTATGTAAAGAGCTGTGTGAGAGAGTGTGAGGAATTGTGTAAAGTGCTGTATGATGAGAGAGCTATGTAAATGACATGTTGTAACTGTGTATAGAGATGTATGGCCATGTAGGAGAGAGATGTATGTATGTAAAGAGAGATATATAGCTGTATGTAAAGGATGTAACTGTGTAGAGACAAAGAGATTTTTAGAGGGAATTAGAACTTAGAAAGAATTAGAACTTAGAAGGAATTAGAAACTAGTAGGAATTAGAAATTAGATAGAATTAGAGCTAAAGAAGAATAAAGAGCATGACCTGAACAGGTTGTGTGTGAAGTTATTAAAGAAATCCTTCTATCCTCACTCTTGAGAAGTCTTCTCTGACTTGCCCTGGATAGTGGCTTGGGAGCTGGACTCACAGGCTGCTAAATTTCTTACTTATCAAACTGAACTGTTAGTAGAAAAGCTGATTTAGTTATATTAACAAGTTTTAAATGTCATCTTTAAAATAATAAGCAAGACTTTTAGATCTTAATTTTAAAGGTTTTCCTTGTGCTGAGCTTGTCCATTTTCCCTGGGCAATGATGTCAGCAGTCTTCTCTTGGGTGTGATGTGTCCCCCCTCTTTAAATCTGAACTGTGCACATGGTTAATATCACAGGAAAGGGGCCTCCCAGGTCTGTTTCAATTTGTTTCTGTTTTGTTTTGTTTTTTGACTTTTTAGCAGTATTTGGTCCCCAAGCAGGAAAGCACAGGCTGGAAATTTTAGCAGAGGAGTTTGGGTGAAAACTTTGTAACCTAAGAGAAAGCAAAATGGAGAAGAGAGCCATAACACAATTGAGAAACTGATTTTAGTTTCCCTGGTGGGAAGGGCTGTGGACTCCCTAAAATAGGAGACATGTAACATTCAAGTGGAGAGAGGCCCTAGCCCTTCTGAGAGCAACTTTAATCTTAAACAAATCTATTTTGTTCTGAGTTACTCTAAGATAGTCTTCATTATTCTAGCAGCAGCATGGGGAAGGAAGAAGGCCTGTATACATCTGAGAAAATGTGCATTCCTACCAGTGTATATTAAAGTTTTCTTTCATCATTACATTATAAAGTTACAGAGAAACAGTCTAAGGTTTTAAAACAGCCATCCTTAATTTCCCCAGTAACCTTACAGGAACTGCCAAATGATACATATCCCCCAGACTGTGTAAGAGCTGAACGGACTCCTATGCAAATATTAGATCTGAAGAGATTCAAAGAAGCAATAGTCCCATATGTCATCCACTCACTGTTTGTAAAGCAGATGCTAAATTCGTGGTCAGCTTATAAGAGAATTATCCCTCAAGACTGGAGAGATTTGGTTACAGCAGTCTTAGAGGCTGGTCTCCAATTACAATGGAGGACCTGGTAGAAGAATGAGGATAAGACCATTGAACAACAAAGCAGAGCTAGAGGTCTTAAAATCTCCTAAGATCAAATTCTTGGGGAGAGTGATTATGCTGATATTCAAAGACAATCTTTATATGATGACCACACACTGGCTTTGTGCTGCACAGCAGCCTTGAATGCTTGGGACAGAATTGAAGAAGTATGAAAGAAAAATGAGTCATTTGCTAAAGTTATACAAGGCCCAAAAGACACCTTCACTGATTTCTTACAAAGATAGACTTCAGCAGTAAATTGAATGATACCAAATTCAGAAGCTAAACAAATAATAATTGAATCTCTGGCTTCTAAAAATGCTAATGCACAATGCAAAATTATAATTAGGCTGTTAAAGGCAAGATTGGCACCCTAGGAGGAATGGATTTGAGATACAATCAATATTGAATCTCATGATCATGATGATGCTTGGATAGGAGAGGTGACTTCCAGAGGTTTGAAAAAAAATCGTAATATCAAATGTTTCAATTGTGATTAACAAGGTCACCTAAAAAGGAACTGTAAACAGTAGGCATCCCTAGAAACAATGTTTTTTCAAGGATAATTCCAACAGAATGCCCCTCCCTTCTGGATTATGCAGAAGGTGTGGTAAAGGCAGACAATGGAGTAATAAATGTAGCCCGACAATGGGCAGACAAGGCAATCCCTTGCCTTTGCTATCTTGAAACAGCCTGAGGGGCCTCTTGCAGGCCCCCAGGTCAAATTCCATTTAGTCATTTCCTGTCATCATGGAAGAAACTCCCTCCCAGACCAATTAAAGAACATAATGCCTATTGTAAAAAAAAAAATCATACTGCTCTGAATGATAGAACAGCTATAGAAAAGAGAACAAAAAAATCAAGAGAAACTATAAATCAAAATTGATAAAGATTAGATTAGGAACTTGCCCAAAATTAAGGTTGGGGAAGGATTTTGTTTTTGTCTTTTCAGGAAAATAAAACCAACCATCTTGAGGAATTTAAAGACCTTTGTACAAATAAGCATCCAAAGAAGAAGGGAGAACTACCTGGAAAAAATTACCAAGAAAAGGAATAATCTGACCTAATGAGATCTCTGAATGATAGAATCCCATAACAATGACTCCACATGGACAATGATAACGCCATTAAGATGACAAACACCACCTAAAGATCAGCTTTGGACTACAAACTTCTCCGGACAATTGTGAGGTGGATATCTGAGATGATCCAACCTCACAGACTGCTCCAGTGTGGACTTGAGACAAGCACTGCACTTTCCCATTATGCAGAGACTGGAAAACAAATGATACAGCTATCTCTCCCTGGACTTGACAATTAACCCAAATTTTTTCTTTTTAGGATCCCCTAAAGATGCCTTCTCCCCCAGACAGCAGGAAGTAAATTTAAGAACATGATGCCCACATTCCAAAGAGGTGGGGTGGGTAATTTTTGGTCATTCAGTGGGTTTATGGATAATTGTCATTGTTTAGGATGGTTGGTTATAAGATATTAATTGTTAATGGTCAGGAGAAAAGCTAAACAAAGGAGATTAGAATCAAGGTTCTTATTTAAAAAAAAGAAAAGAAAAATAGAGGATATAGATATGAAAAGATAAAAGGTAGACTATTGAGTCTACTCTGAAAAGAAAAAAGGGAGAATATGTATATGATAAGATAAAAATGCAAATTATTGAATCTACTCTGAAAAGAAAAAAAGGGAATATAGATATAAGAAAAAAAAGGTAAATTATTGAATCTACTTTTTCAAAGCAACTACTTGTTTTAAATATTTTACATTGGATTGGATTTTTGTACATTATATACAAATTTTGTATACTGATACAAATTTGAGATTATTTTTGTTAGAACATACTGTATATGCATTTCTAATCTTGTTCAAGGTATTGCACCTATACAACTCACTTAACAATGTAATGCAATTTTCTAGTCCTTGAAAGTTATTATTACCAACTATTTAGGATAATAAAGAAATGAAAGTTAGTAGTTAGTTATTACAATGGAACCTGTAGTCATGTTAGGTATGTTTTCAAGGTCAAACAGAGATATATTTTATATGGTCTTCAAGCACTTCAGAGACCTGCAAAATACGGCATTTAAGATGTTTTAATAACATAGAGTCTTTTTTTTATGACAATGAGACATGTCTGCTCCAGGCAGCACCAATCTGCTTCAGAGAAGATGATGGGCATTGAAAAATTCCATATGGAGTTTACTTTCTTTGTGACAAAAGTTAGCCTCTGGGCAAGAAAATGCCCTTGCTTCAACTGCTGACAGTATGCTGTCCAAATGGGACAAGCAGAACACAAAAGAAAGGACTGCTGAACTTTGCCAAGACAAAGTAGGAAGTCCCTTTAGAAAATCCTGTTTCACAGATGAGTCTGTCAGACATGCTAGGCCTGTAGGCTGAATATGGATGTCCCAACATTACAGAAGAACCTAGGGTGACTGTCCAGGCAGCCAGCTGTTTCTGTCATTTCTCACATTTTTTGGAAGCTGCTTGCCTGCACTTCCTGTTTACTTAGGTTTCTGAGGGAGTTAATGATTAGATAGTTATAGTTATCCTTATTAACAAATTCAGAAAAGAAACTCACTAAAGAGGTATAAAGTGTGTAAATTTGAAAGACATCAGTAGTTTTTGGTTGATAATACAAGTTACAATAGATCGTGAATTAGGTACAACATTTTGGACTCACCAAAATAGAATAAACAATGGAATATTTTCTCTGAAACTGTCAAATGGTAATAGACTGGACATTATAGATGTAATTCTTGGCTTTATATATTGTATATAGTTATTGTACTTATTGTATATAATTTTTCTTATATTAGTTATAACCTTCTTTTATTATTTTAGACAAAAAAAGGGGAAATGTGGTGATACTTTGTTGTACTCTAATAAAAGTTGCCTGAAGATCAGAGGACAGAGCCAGCCACTAGATTAAATATAGCAGTCAGGAAGTGGTGGCGCACACCTTTAATCCTAGCACTCCAGAGGCAGAGGCCTGTCTGGATCTCTGTAAGTTCAAAGCCACCCTGGACTACAGGAGATTAATCCAGTCTAAAAGAAACAGAGCGAGGAAGTGGTGGTACATAATCCTAGTACTTGAGATCTCATGCCTTTGTTACCAGTATTTGGGAAGCACATACACCATTAATTCTAGCACTAGGAAGGTTGAGACAGGAAGTGATTTGGCTGGGTGGAGAAAGAAATACAAGGCAGGAGAAAGGAACTGAGACCCTTTTGGCTGAGGACTCAGAGGCACTCAGTCTGAGGATTCACAGAAAATGGATTGGCTGAGAAGTTGGCAAGGTAAGAAGTGGCTGTGGCTTGTTTCCTCTGATCTTTCAACATTTGCCCCAATATCTGGCTTTAGGTTTTTATTATAAGACCATTTAGGATTCATGCAACAGGTGACTTATGTCTTGATTGGGTGATTGGGTGCTGTCACTATGTTCAATGAGCTAGAAATGCTGAAATATGGAGGAAGGGATTCAAGGAGACTTGGAGTGAAGTTACAAGTATGCTCAAATACAGTGACCACCCTACCTGGATGTTTTCTGCTTTTCTTTTTCTTGGGGTGAAGGTAATACATGGGGGACACTGGACAGACTACTATGATGACAGTGACCAATGACTCATTTTCTGATTGTATTTATGAACTGCTCTATGAGATGGAAATCATGTCTGATGCTGTGGCTAATGAGGTCCTCGGTTCCAGAGGAGAATCTACTATTATTCTTCTAAATTGATATGGTATTAAACTGACTTCTAATGAGTTGTTGTGACACCTATAGATTAGTACATCATCAGAGAAGCTTCCTTTTGCAGTAGATGGTGATTAACACAGACCCACCACAGGTCAACATACAGAGAAGAAAGACTACAGAGGATCCAGTTCTGAATGGGACATCTGTATATCACATCCCTCCTCCCAAGGACAAGGGATCAGATCCTGATGAAAGAGAGGCTAGAGAGATTGTAAGATTCCTGAGAAATGTCTGGTAAGAGCTCACTGGAAAGGGCATGTTAACTATATCACAGTACTAACATCAGAGCAGTATCCACAAAGCCTAGGAGGAAAGGCGGCTCCCTCTCTCCTACAGACCATAATAAGCTTTAGCATAAGGACTCATGTCCCAAGTACTGATGTGTCAAGCACGTACATGTTCAAGAAGGAACACAAGGAAAGTTTTCCTCTCAGAAAAACACAATTCACACTCACCAACATGAACAGAAAGTAGATGGTCACCGACAGTGTTGGCACAGCCACTGCATTCTGCCTTGCCCTTAAAGACAGTGACAGGGAACTGGCAGAATAAGCCAACATCATGATGTTAAAATACATAGTGAAGAGACTCTTCACATCTGTGTTTACTCCTTAGAAAGAGAGAAAGAAAGTGGGGTCAGTTCATCTACCTAACTCAAGAGAACTGTACATAATTCAAATAATACTTTAATAATCAAAATGACTAGTTACAGCTTCACAGCCATCCAGCTTCCCTGGGTTTCCAACTGCTACCCGATCATGTGGATGCTGGGAAACAAATTTGGGGACTTTGGAGGAGGAGCAGCAAGTGCTCTTAACCAATGAGCCTTTCTCCAGCCCCATCATATGGCTCTATTTTTATACTTGTCACAAAAATACCTTTCCATATAATACCTGTTCTCCTCTATACTTAATTGAGCAAATGAGCAATTTATGGATCCTGACATGGAGAGCTACAGGCAACACAACTGGCCAAAAAATGACCACATTCTCTCACAGAAGAATCAGCAATAGACCATGTTCATGTCCTCATTTCCCTGTGTTTATTACAATTGCATTAGTAAAGAAATTGGGATCAGGACTATGCTGGTTAGTTTTTGTCAATTTAACACAAGCTAGGGTCATAAGGGAAAGAGGAACCTCATTTTAAAAAAATGCTTCCATTAGATTGGCCTGTAGGCAAGCCTGTGGGGGCATTTTCTTGATGAATTATTTATGTGGGAGGTCTTAGACAACTGTGAATGATACCATCCCTGGACAGGTGGTCCTGGGTTCTATGAGAAAGCAGGCTGAGGAAGCCATTAAGAGCAAGCCAGTAAACATGACTCCTCCATGGCCTCTGCTTCACTCCCTGCCTGCAGGTTCCTGCCCTGAGTTCCTGACCTGACTTCCAAGATGAAATAAACTCTTTCCTTCCCAAGTTAGTTCTAGTCATGGTGTTTATTACTAGAAACTAGCACTAGAAACCTAAGGCAAGGGTTAAACAAACTTCCAGTGGTTTAAATATCTAGAGGAGAGGAGGTGCCTCCAAGTTTAGTTTTCTGCTGAGAGTACTGGCAGCAATGGCTTTACCAGAGGCCACAGGGATATACAGCAGATGACAATGGATAGTTCAGGTGTAAGCCTACCGGATGCACAACTCTCTGATAGAGGGATCTCATAAGCAAGGCTTACAGGACCACAGACTCTGAAAACTGAGCGCTTCTGTCTGTAGTTTTTCTCTTGTTCCGCTACATTTCTTCCGCAAAACAGCTGTGGGGTTCTTTCCACAGCTGTGGGGTTCTTTCCACAGCTGTGGGGTTCTTTCCACAGCCCATTGTTGGTGTGGTTTGTACTTTGGGGGCACAAAAAGTGGATGGTCAGAAAGATGACTTCTTCTTAAGCTGTATCATTTTGATGAATAGAAATATACTAGGCTATGCTTCATAATTAGATCTATTATTCCATGAGGACTGTAAGATATTTAGGCCCTGTTTTTTAATCACTAGCTCAGACCGACATAAAGAAAACAGCAATTTCTTCTCAGTTCTAGACAAGATACATACAATAAGCTGATTCTAGTCCTCAAAACAAATTCAAGCTAGACTAAAAGCCTCACAAGTTAAACCTTCACAGATAGTATACAAGGACAATTTCCCAGATGTCTAATTGTGGAACCAAGGTCAGACACAAAGCAACTTTGATGCCAGTTACCAGCTTGCTAAGTCTGGCTTTTAAGGACCTACTCCATACAAAAATTCCTCAGCAGCTTGTTGTCATGGTTACTCACTTCCTCAGATGTAACTTTTTTACTTCCCATGGGGTGGATACAAGAGGATACAGAAAAAAAAAAAAAAGGAGAAGAACTTGAAAGAAAAGAAAGTGAATGGTCTAGTCAATACATACACGAATCTTATTCCCTCAGATAAATAAGAATTATTCCTAAGTCCCACTACTCTGAAGGAATTCTTTTTATTACCCTGGGTGCAGTTTTGGGAGCTGGTCTCTCAGGCTGTAGTTGTTTTCTCTAGGAAATCACCATGTAACTGCTATGCAGGAAGGCGATGGGTTCCACCAGCTAATTTGTAATCTTTATGGACCTATTGCTATGAGTTATGCACAGTCCTGTGTTTTTATAATAGTCACAAGGACACAGTTAGATTCTGAGGGAGCTACGTTCCATGTCTAATGGTTTTAAAAGTTATTGTTATGATTATCATGGTGTATATAGTACATGTGTCATTATGAGCGTGCATTTATCATGGTGTGCATGAATCATGATGTGCATGTATCATGGTGTGCATGTACCATGGTGTATATGTGCCATGGTGTACAAGTGCCATGGTATGCATGTGGAGTTGAAGGACAATTTTCTTGAGTGATTCTCTCTTCCACTGTAAATTCTGAGGATCAAATTCATGTTGTCAGGCTTGCAGGACAAGCACATTTCCCACAGCCATCCCATGGCCTAAATGACTGGTTCTGAATAATAAATCTCTTATAAAACAAAGTCTAAGCTTTATCATTGCTTACCTTAGTATGTGTGAGTGTATATGTGTGTGCATGTGTGTTAAATGTATGGAAATTCTGAACAATAAGTCTAGGGTGAAGCTTAACCTTAATGCACAAATGAATCTGTGCATATATTTCATATAACTATTTGTATTATATAATTTCAACAAACCTCAAACTCACTATCCTCTCTCTTTGTAAGATTAGGTAGCATAAGACACTGTATACATTTAAGTTCTTTTAAGCACATACATATTTGTAAGATATTATCCACTTTTCCATATTTTATTTACATATAGACACTTACACAGAAACAGTGAAAAATATACAGCTGGGCTGGAAAGATGGCTCACTAATTAAAAGTATGTACTGTTATCTCAGAAGCCATATATTCCATTCCCAGCACCCACATGGTGGCTCACATCCTGTAACTCCAGTTCAAGGAGATCTGATGTTCTCTTCTGACCTCACCAGGCACTGCATGCACTTAGTGCACACACACACACACACACACACACACACACACACACACACACACACACACAAATAAAGTAAAAATAAATCTTTTACAACAAATATGGACAGATATCTAATAATTGATCTTGCTCCTTTGTCACTGTCTCAAATATGTACGCTATATCTACATTCATTATAATACACAGAATCTCTAGGAAAAACAGTTTCATAAAAAGCTTTTGTAGTATTTTGTGAACAAGTCTTGGAGACTTTCCTCACACTGAACACCTGTTTTAGATGGCACACAGTGGAGACGTGCTTTTCTACTCATGCTTTCCTACTTCAGACTTGCCACAGTTGTACAAAGCCAAACATGCTCCCCCAAGAGTAAAGACACATTCTCTTGCTTTGTCACTTACCTGCTATGCTGAATACTATAACAGTAAATATAGTACTTGGCAATAGCCTCCTGGGTACCAGCTCAGCCAGCAATTTCCCAAGGAAATATGGTGGCACTCTGTAGTATCCACTGGTATGCTCATGTCTACAGAGACAAAGATCATGTTAAACATCCTTAGATTAGTCCAGAAGGCACAGGTGAGATGCTGGCTAAGCTGACTTCTGCCTTGACAGGGAGCCTAACAGGACAGTGTCCCCTATGCTCCAGGCTGACTCCCATACACGTCCCCATCTTAGGGACCAGCATCCCTAGGCCAGCATCCTGATGACATTCTCACTAGGATTCTCCCCATCAGAAAACTCTCCCCACTTTGTCCACTCTGGTCACACAACAGCCCCTCCAGGGACAGACTGATGTGCCCACTCTCCTCAGAGTCTCTGCCCCTCTGAAGCTGGTTCCCTGAGGAGCAGCTCATTCCTACCTCACCTCAGACAGTGGTCATGGAGACTTCTCTCCTTCCAGTTCTCATGAAGAAGGTGACACTGTCACTCTGAGGTCACAGTGCAGCCTCAGGACACTACATCCTTCTCACTTTAGGACAGATGTATTCCTTCAATAATCTCTCTTCACAACCACGAATCTTTACCAGATACCAAACTTGATCCTTTCCCTTCCAGCCCTTCCAGATCCCAAGCTCTTCCCCTCCCAGTGTCTTCTTTTCATCTCTGGTGTTTTGTTTTTTGAGACAGACTCACCAGTGCCGGCTGAACTTAAATTCCATATACAGCCAAGAATGACCATCCTCCTGCCTCTACTTTGGCCCCAAGTGCTGGGATTACAGGCATACAGCCATGATCAGGGTTTTGTGACACTGTGAATCTAACACAGGGTTTCAGGCACACAAAGCAAGCACTCTAACTACTGAACGAGGCCCTCAGCTCCTCTCTGAGGACTCCTCTCCTGGGCATGTACTTGGAGGCAAATCTTGGCCATCTCTGAGAGAAGTGAATTCTAAGCATAGGCCACCAGGGAAAGGTTCTTCCATGTTTGAAAAGCACAGAAGATAAACAGCCCTTTTCTACACAGCTGCTGTCTGGCTCTTTCCAGCCCTCCATCAAGAGGAGACTCTCATTCTTGTGCAGCTGTACCTCTCCAACTCCAATGTGCTGCCGAACCCACCACACTTTAGCTCTGTGAAACCCCTGACATCTTTATTTTGGGGAGGAGTCATAAATTTCCTGTGATTTTTTCAGCCCCTACTATTGCATTGTCTGCAGCACTGAGATAGGGTAGTATCACCCACATTTTGAAACTTTCTCTGAGCAGCAGACACCTCTGCTCTTGGCTTCCTATCCATTTTTCAGTTAATATTATTACTCTCTTTACATACTTCAAAAATCATGATACCACATGATAAACACAAATTTCACAATTTGTTTATTTTCAACTAAATAAGTAAGAAAAAGGGGGAATTACTGGTAATTCATGAGATAACATTCCAGGCCAAATGATGAATGAAATTAATTGACCACCTGCTCCTGGTGCCTACTTCTGGAGCAGGGGTTACTCACAGAAAGCGATCCTCGTCAATCACAAAGAGCTCCCCAGCAGACACACTTGTGATGGTCTGGAAGATGGTGACCACGAAGAGCAGGCCAGCTCTGCAAGGACAGAATGGAGACAAAAACAATAGTAAATTCAACACTGGGATGGCTTATTTCCAATACACCTTGTTCTGCAGATTAAATAACATTACACAGATTTTTATTTGAAAAAAAAATCAGTACTGGAGATTTGGCTCAGCAGTAAAGAGTGCTTGTTGCTCTTGCAAAGGACCAGGTTGGTTGGCAGCACCCACATGGTAGATCACAACCATCTGTCACTGGAGTTGAAGGGGAGCCTGTGCTACCTAGTTTATGTCAACTTGACACAAGCTAAGGTTATCTGAAAGGAGGGAACCTCATTTAAGAACGATAAGATCCAGTTGTAAGGCATTTTCTTAATTACTGATGGATGGGGAAGGGCTCAGCCCATTGTGGGTGGTGCCATCCCTGACCTGGTGGTCCTGAGTTCTCTAAGAAAGGAGGCTGACCAAGCCATGGGGAGCAAGCCTGTAAGCAGCACCCATGCATGGCATCTGCAGATTCCTGCCTGGTTTGAGTTCCGGTCCTGACTTCTCTTCAGTAATGAAATACAATGTGGAAAGGTAAGCTGAATAAACCCTTTCCTCCCCAACTTGACCTATGGTCATGAGCTTAATCAGAGCAATAGTAACCCAAACTAAGACAGAAAACAATGTCTCTTTGTGATAGTCAGAGGTCTCAGGGAAAACACATGGTACACAGACATACATGTAGGCAAACACTCATACACATACAAATAAAATACGTATTTAAAAAAGGGAAGATGGAAAATGTAGAACTGTTCTGGTTATAAAGGTCAGGAAGTGTGAGTCCCATAAGTTATTTTCCTCTCTGTCTCCACAGCGGCATCGATTAATTGAAGTGTGTCTTCTAAAATTTAACAATTGGATAATGTAATGTAATGATTCTAGAGTATGTAATATAGAAGTTAATTTAGATGAAATGATGAGAGTGGAGCCCTATAATGTCATCTGTGTCCTCATCATGGGAAGAAACAGCAATGTAGTGTCTGCCAGGAGAGGGCTGAGAGAAGGTGGCCAGACAGGAAGAGCCTGGGAGAGAATCCTCACCTCACACTCTCCCACTGCATTGTGGAGACTCATTTAGTTTTAAAGCCACTGAGTCTGTGGTATTCAGTCAAGCCAGCCCAATCCATCACTCCAATTTAACTAACAAAGTTGGTAAGCATCATTCCTAATGTATAAGGAGAGAAACAAAGATTAATAAAACTCCAAGGAGTTTTCCTATTCAGTTGGCTGTGTTGATTTACAGAAAAGTAAGAATGAAAACGTGAAACAGTGGGTGGAATCTCAACTCAACAACTCACTACAGACATGGACTGTACACACATCTTTAAAGCCTTGATGATTATCCATAAAATAGGCCAACAACTTCCTGCATGGTTTCCAAAGTGCTCAAAAAATAAATTCAGTCATGCCTATTTATGAAGAAATAATTTGTGTCGATGTGATAGGGGATGGCAAGCAGGAAGAGGGAATAAAAGGCCCTCTGCAGTTATCTGTTTCCTGGACACACATGTCAGGTTCCTCTAGACAGATGCATGATTGGGTCCTAACAGCCAGCTACATAACACCTTCTCATCTGACAGTCAGAGGTCAGTGACTCTCTTTATCTAGGTACACAGTGGTGGTTAGATATCCAGATCAGATGAGGGAGACCTTGTTGGAGACTAGTTCCTCCTAAATTAAAGAAAAAATTCCATTTTATAATCTACCAAAGGCCAGATTAAGGAAGGAAGGAAAAGAAAAAGACAGTCTAAGAATGGGTAAGACTCTGAGAAGGGCAGGAAGAAAGACCTCCAAACTCCTGGACTTGGGAGACAGAGGCATGAGGACTGCTGCAGACTGAGGCCAGCCTGGGTTACATGACAAGTTCTGGGCCTGTCAGGTCACAACTGTGGCCCTGCCTCAAAGGAACAAATAAGAGCAGGGGACGTGACCTGAGCACCCCATAAACAGCCATAGAGCATAGGACCTGAGCACTTCATGACCAAACACTGAGTGGAGGAGCTGGGTTCCTCCTCTCCTAATGAGTCAGTTTTGCTTTCTTTACTTTACTCTCCTGAATGCACAACTCTCCCCTCTTCCATTCCCCCACACATCTGTTCCCTGGTGCTCAGGGCATTTTCCCTCTCTGTGTTCCCAATAAATTGTCCTCAAGTTCCATCTGTGTTTACTTTCATACGTTTTATCAACAAATCCAAGAACTTAGAAAGGGGACCTTATGGGCCTGGTTACACTTAACCTTATATACTACATCTACTTTCTGATCTGAGTGTTTGGATATTATCATTTAGATTGAAAACATTTAAGGTATAAAACTTATATGATTCATGAACAATTCTGTAAAGTAATTATATCAAATTAAATTAGTTTATAACCATCACTGCAAATATACATCATTTTAAAGGTAATGCATTAGAAATGTAGTCTCAGGAACTTTGAAATGTGTATTAATATTTGATGGATTGAATGTACTGTACAATCTGTCTCAAAGGAGAAAAATCTTACTTCTCCTGTTTATCAGATTTTACACTCTCAGCCCATATGTGTCTCCTCACTCCCCACTGCCCTGGCAAAGTGTACACTATGCTGCCTGGAGGTCAATTGCTTTATAATCCACATGTAAGTGAAACATGATTGTCTTTCTGGGTTTGCATTACCTATTTGGCATGATATTCCTCAAATCTTCAATTCTATCCATATTGCTATACATTCCCATTTTTAAAGATAAGCAGCATTTGAGTGATATTTTCTTCATCATTTATGTGTTGATAGACAGTTAAATTCCTTAACTTGGTTACTGTGCATAGTCCTCCAATGAACATCAGACTTCACATGCATTTTTGGTAAATGTTTTTAAATAGGCATGTAAATATGCACAGGATAAATGTCTATGTCCAATTATTTCTTTCAGTGCCTTCTCCTTAATGTTTGGCTGCCATCTCAACCCTATAATGCTGTTGAGCCAAAGGAGCTCATGTGCCAACAAAATTCAAATCCAGCTCTTAGTTATATAGTTGGACAAAATACAAAGGCTTTGCTGGATCCAAACATGAGAAGGCATCTCATGGCCTCCTGAACATTACAGATGAAGAGAATCTTGATATTGACCCTGAAAATAATTTAATAGCTTTATTCCATAGATGATCTTTTTATTTTATAATTTAATTTAATTTTACATATCAGCCACGGATTCCCTTGTTCTCCCTCCTTCCCCCAGCCTCTCCCCCATTCCCATCTCCTCCAGGGCAAAGACTCCCCTGGGGATTGAGTTCAACCTGGTAGACTCAGTCCAGGCAGGTCCAGTCCCCTCCTCCCAGGCTGAGTGAAGTATCCCTGCATAAGCCCCAGGTTCCAAACAGCCAGCTCATGCAATGAGCACAGGTCCCAGTCCCAGTGCCTGGAGGCCTCCCAAACAGATCAAGCCAATCAACTGTCTCACTTATCCAGAGGGCCTGATCCAGTTGGGGGCTCCTCAGCTATTGGTCCATAGTTCATGTGTTTCCCTTTGTTTGGCTATTTGTCCCTGTGCTTTATCCAATCTTGGTCTCAACAATTCTCGCTCATATAAACCCTCCTCTTTCTCGCCAATTGAACTCCTGGAGCTCCACCTGGGGCTTGGCCATGGATCTCTGTATCTGGTTCCCTCAGTCATTGGATGAGATTTCTAGCATGACAATTAGGGTGTTTGGCCATGTGATCACCAGAGTAGGTCAGTTAGGGCTGTCTCTCGACCATTGCCAGTATTGTGGGGGTATCTTTGTGGATTTCTGTGGACCTCTCTAGTACTTTGCTTCTTCCTATTCTCATGTGGTCTTCATTTATCATGGTCTCTTATTTCTTGTTCTCTCTCTCTGTTCTTGATCCAGCTGGGATCTCCCACTCCCCTAAGCTCTCTTTCCCTTGAACCTTGCCCTTCATTACCCACTCACATCCTGAAGAATGGATAAATAATATGTGGTACATATACACAATGGAATACTACTCAGCAGAGAAAAACAATGACATCATGAGGTTTGCAGGCAAATGGATGGATCTAGAAAAAATCATCCTGGGTGAGGTAACCCAGACTCAGAAAGACAAACATGGTATATACTCACTCACAGGAGGATACTAGATGTAAAACAAAGATGACTAGACTGCTACTCACAACTCCAAGGAGGCTACCTAGAAAACAGGACCCTAAGAAAGACACAGGGATTGCCCAATGACAGAGAAATGGATGAGATCTCCATAGATGATCTTGAGGAAGTGTTTTGAACTGTCCTACTTAGATTTCTGCTGCTACAATGAACACCATGACAAATAGCAACTTAGGGAGAATGGGATTTATCTGGCTTACATATCCCAAGCCACAGTCCATCCCCGAGGAAAGTCAGACAGGAATTCAAGGCAGGATCTTGGAGGCAGGGATAGAAGCTGGGGCCACTGAGGCATGTTCCTTACTGGCTTGTGCCTCATGATTTGCCAGCCTGCTTCTTTATACAACCCAGAACCACCTGCCCAGAGGTGACACTGTCCCCAGTGGGCTGGCCCCTCCCACATCCATCATTCATCAAGAAAACGTCCCACAGACTTGCCTACAAGCCAACCTGGTAGATGAATTTCCTTAATTGAGGTTCTTTCTTCCCATAGGCTTATGCCAAGTTGACAAAGTCTAGCTAGCACACTAACCAAAAGAATCAACCACTAATCAGGATGACTGAAATAAACTACACACAAAGGCCATTGTCACACAGTACAACTTCTTATACAATACTGGTAGCAGAGGAAGTGAAAAATACAAATTAAGAGCATTTTGCAATTTCTAAAAAGAATATGAAGAAACAGCTAATAAAGCTCTTCTTTATGTCTGCATTTTCCAAGATCATTTCTGAGAGAGCAAGACAAACTCCATTTTAAAGAAAACTTCATTTCTAGCAATACTAAGATAAAAGCTGAACCAAGTTCCAGAGACATAAACACCCAGTTAAGACTCCAGTCAAGGTGACCCCCCCACCCTCAGGGTGGGTAGGCTGCTGGCCAAGAAATAGTTATGAAGCTACCAAAGGCTTAATCCATCAGAGTCTCCAACAGTACTGGGAGAGACTCCAAATGTATTTTGTCTTCTGTAGTTCTTCTCTTGGCTAAATGTTCCTGTTAACTGAAGTATGACCCTGAAACACAAAGGCTTGTACCTCATAGCTTGCGGCTTTTCCCTTTAAAAAATCCTTCACTCTGAGAGCTCAGGGCCATCCTCCTTCACCTGGGTAGCCAGTGTGTTAGACACAGACCACACCCAGGCTTGCATGTTATTAATAAGCCCCTTTGTACTTGCATCGGATATTGGCTCTGTGGTGGTCTTGCTTGGGGGTCTAGCAACATGGGCACAACAATTTCCACATTAGGTTTTTTGGAGTTTGTGTCTGAATGCTTCCTGTGACAGTGTCTACACCATCTGTATTGTTGTCTGGGTTCTGCTGGGTTAAGACATGCTGTCTACACAGGGCGTAAACCAAGTACTAGCAGATTTGGAAAGCATTCAGACCTTGGCCTTCAGGAAGGTGAAAAGAAGACAGATGGAAATAGATGTAACAGTCATCTCACTGCAGACTAACTCCTGATCCACACAGAAGGCAATTCATAGAAAAACTGATTTTTATGTTTGTTCTTATCTTCAAAATTAAATCAGCGTTTTCCACACATCAAATCAGATTTGTGGGGCTGTGGAGATGGCGCATTCAGCAACAAGTCTGCCATGCAGCCATGAGGACCTGAGTTCAAATGCCTACAACACATGTAAAAATATCCAGGCATAGTACTTCTCATCTGTAACTCCAGTGATGAAGGGTACAGAAGTGGACACTTGGAGCTCATTAGCCAGCCAGTCTGGCCAAGTCAATGAGCTCTAGATCCAGTGAGGGACCTGCCTGGAAAAAGAAAGTGGAGGGTCATCAAGGAAAGCCTGGCATCAACCTCTGACCTCCATATGCAGATTTATGCATGCTCACCAACATGCACATGCACACACACACATACACATGAGTGCACCCCACACAAACCTGTACATATAACACCTCTCTCTATGTCTCTCTGTCTGCCTCTCTTTATCTCTCTCATCTCTCTGTCTTTCTGTCTCTCTCTCTCTCTCATATATATATATATATGATATATATATATGTCTCTGTTTCTCTCTGTGTGTCTGTCTGTCTCAAGAGAAGCTTCCTGAAGTTCTTAATCATCTTTCCGTAATTGTCAAACCTCTTTGGCTATTGGGAGGTACCCAGAGGCTATGGGTGTCAAGCAGGACGCCCAGTTGAGGAAATAATTTTATGCCATACATAAATTACAGTGAAAATTCTGAAAATTGTGATTCTGATGAGACACTATGTTTGGAACATGCTATAGTCATTTTAAAAAGTTTAACATGAAAGGATATCTTTAAAGCTACGTTATAGTTCAAATTAGACAAGGACCACAAAGGTGACATCTATAAGACAAGTCAGGAAAAACTGAGTCCCATCCTATTACCCCATGGTCACATTCAAACATAGCAAATATGTGCAAGAAAATTGGCACCAAAGAAACAAAAGAAGAATAAATAGGTAAACTAAAACATTTATGTACCAAGGGCATTATAAACAGAATAAAAAGGCAATACACAGAAGAGAAGAAATGTCTATGCATCATGTATCTGGTTTGGGATTCTCATCTCAAAAACAAAAATCATTGTAACTCAATAGCAAGGAAAAGTTAAGGGCCAATGAGATGATTCAGGTGACATGACTGCTGCCGTTCTTGATGACCTTGAGTACAATCCTGAAACCCATGTGGTGGAGGGCTTGCTCTTGTAAATTGTCCTCTGGCCTTCTCATGTATGCTGTAGTACATGCATGCCCACACACATACACACACTAAAGAAATAAATAATTTTGGAATGAAAAGAAAACTTTCGTATTTAAAATGGGAAATTGCAGTCACTTCATAAAACATCCAGTGAAATATCATTTATTTTTTCTTAAATATCTTATTCCAAACAAGAAAGAACATAAGTTTGGTTGAGGATGTGGACATTCTGGAGTCCTTGGGTTGGGCTGGTGAGGATATAAAATAGTACAGTGGAGTTGGAGACAGGACAGCAGTTCCTCAAACAATTAACCCAATGGCCTATGATTTGGCAACTCAAGCTTTCTGCCTTAAAGAACAAAAGTCCGCCGGGCGGTGGTGGCACACGCCTTTAATCCCAGCACTCGGGAGGCAGAGCCAGGTGGATCTCTGTGAGTTCGAGGCCAGCCTGGGCTACCAAGTGAGTTCCAGGAAAGGCGCAAAGCTACACAGAGAAACCCTGTCTCGAAAAACCAAAAAAAAAAAAAAGAGCAAAAGTCCAGAGCTCAAAGTGATGTACTTGCACACTCAACAGCACGGTTCACAGCAGCCAAAGGTGAGAGCAAACCACATTTCCAGACACAGATGAATGGGAAACAATACAGCACACACACACAATGGACTATTATTCTGCCTTACAGAGCCCAAGAAATCCACACACATGCCACACTTTGATGAGCCTGAGGACATTAGACCAATGGAAACAAGCCAGCCAAAACAAACAAAAACAAAACCCGAAAACACAGATACTTGTGTGACTCCAATTCATGGTTCCCACATTAGTCATATTCAATGACAGAAAGTAGGATGGCTGATACCAGGAATCGGGAGTGGGTAGTATGTGGAGTCTTCTTTCAGAGCTATGGGATTCCATTTGGGAAGAAGAAAAAATGCCCTACATTTAGAGTGTGATGATAGTCACATAACATGAAACTAAACACTAAAACTGCTAAAATGTGAAATGTGTGGTGTGTATACTTTCATTTTATCTACACACAAACGTGAAAAAGTGAGTTCGTCCCCTCAGGCTTCAATGAACCAACACACTCTATCACACCATAAAATGATTACGCAGTTCTTGCCATGAATTCCAATTCTTAATGGATTTACAAAAGCATGAACAAAGTGACAGCAGTTTCTCAAAATCAGGATCCAAGTTTGCGCACCTGGTCTGGACTTCCGTACAATCATTTCGTAGGAGACGGAAAGCGACGCCCACCAACACGGCCAGAATGATTGTGATAATTGCCTTTCAAAAAGATAACGGGGAAAAGAAAAACTTTCCATTAGGAATAGAAAGTGTTCTATACATTGTGCATTATTTAATATATATGGTTTCCTAATCAGATCTCTCCAATGAGAGAAACACTGTATTTTGGGCAGAGTCCCTGGAAGAATATAAAACACACATGTTAATAGACTGCTTGTATGTTAAACTGAAGGTCTCTGCAATCTGAGGCTCTGACAGCACAGATCCTGGAAAAGCTAAGACTTCTCCCGGTGCTCCACCAGGATCTCCCAGTGCTCCACCAGGATCTCCCAGTGCTCCATCAGGAACGGCCAGTGAAGGGCTCAGTTCAGGTTCTGAAACATGGATGACACAGGTGGAGAGAATGCAGGTGCCTGGGGAGGTTGGGGACGAACCAAAGTAAGTGACAAAGTGTTCACTAAACTGAGACCTCAGCTCTGGTGCAGCGAACATGTGCAGTTTCTACTTCAAGTGGTTTAAAGAACTCGGGCTTTCTTTACTCTAGTTAGAAACAAGTTCACCCCAGGCCAGGGGACAGCTCAGTGGCAGAGCCCTGCACAGCATACACTAGACCTAGCCCTGATCCCCTCAACTGCAAACCAAATAACAAAACTGAAAATGACTCACAACCCAGTTCCTAGTAGTGGGATCTTGTGTGCTAAGAAGTGGGGAGCTGGTCCTCACCTGTGTCACCTCTGGGAAGTCTGTGCCTGTGTGGGAACGAGCACTATTGCAGTCACCACAGTGTTCAGACAGCGTCCTCTGGGTCACCTGATGCCCCATTGCCCCTCATCTCTGTCACTGCTGCTCCATCAACGTCAGCCAGAGCGGCCTGTGCTCAAGTCTCATTAAGCTGCCAACTCCTCCAGACCCTCATCTACCTCCATCCACTCGGTCTGTGCAGACAGTCACAAGGACCTGCACTGCTTTGGTTTTGAGTTAAAATGGCTTTAAAAGGTGCTTCACTTAACAAAGGAGTAAGGCTACATGATGCTGTAACTTATTTAAAAGATTCTCCATTTACTGGTCCTGTGCTCATTGCATGAGTTGGCTGTTTGAAACCTGGGGCCTATGCAGGATCGCTTGGCTTGGCCTTGGGGGAGGGGACTGGACCTACCTGGACTGAGTCTACCAGGCTGATCTCAGTCCACAGGGAAGGCTTTGCCCTGGAGGAGGTGGGAATGGGGGGTGGGCTGGGGGGAAGGTGAGGGGGGCGGGAGGGGGGAGAACAAGGGAATCCGTGGCTGATATGTAGAACTGAATTGTATTGCAAAATTAAAATTAAAAAATTAAATAAAAAAAAAAAGATTCCGTTATTCCTCTGATGATGTTTTAAAAGTAGAATATTATGATCTAAGGGAAAGCCGCTTACCATGTAACTTGACAAATTAGAACTCAAAACACTAGAATTTGGAGATAAGGCTCAGCAGTTAAGATCACTAGCTGCTCTTGCAGAGGGCCTGAGATTCAGTTCCCAGCACACAAATGGCCCCTACAACCTTCTATAACTCCAGTTTCAGAGGATCTGATGTTTTCTTCTGGCCTTCATGGACATGCCTATGATGCATAAATATAGATGCACTCAAAACAGCCATACATAATAAATAAATAAATAAATGATTTAGAGATTTAGTCCTCAGTTCCTAACATTGCTAACACACACACACACACACACACACACACACACACACACACACACACACTTCTTACCTCCTGATACTGTGCCTCACTGTTGAACAATGAGTAACACAATTTGATGAATGTAACTCACTTTTTTCCAGTCATATTGAATCTTTTTTCCAAAAAGAATGGATATAAAAATGCCTCTTTTATGACAAAAATAGATGGTAACTGAATAAACAGATAAAATTATAGAAAAGACCAAAGTGTCTGGAGCAACTGACAGTACAACTCAAATGGTAAGAATATTCACATACATGCAGGGAAGGAAGCAGCATTGAAATATGAAAAGGGCAGCACACGTGTTAAGAAGTAAGTGGTGTTTCATTACAGCCAACAACACACGACCTTTCAGTGTTCAACAGAAACTAAATTCCTGAGAGTAAATAACAACACACTAACAACAGAACTGACTATAAGTTCTGGTTGGACAGGGACAGGGATGTAGGTCCATGGTAGAGTGATTGTCCTCTCATGGCTGAGGCCCCAGGATCAAACACTAACACAGCAGAATCCTCAACATCATGAAAAAAAGATAAATGAAAAAGTGATGGAACAATGAACTGGAAGAACCACATTTCTGTGTGACATTCATGTTAAAATAACAGAAAATCTTAAGGCATGATGATCCTTGTTACAGAGCTGGTTTAAAGAAAAGTGGAACCTCACTTCCTTCCAGTTCCCAGTCAGCTGACAGGGAAGAGCACTGTTCAGTCCAGTCACTATCTGTGTGTGAACTGCACTCTGAGTGGCTTCTGCTCTCACCCTGGACTCCAATAAGGAACAGCACTCTGCACTGGGCTCATCTCTCAGGCAGTGCATGCACAGGCTCCCTCAGAGGGGATCAATGGCCCTGTTTCCTCATCCCATGATTTCAACTACAGATCAACCCCCTTTCCCTCCCCAGTCACCTCCACCCTTCCTACTTAAACTTTCTCCAAAGTCCATTCTGTCATCTGACATGCTACAGTTTTATCTGTTTATTCAGCTACCATCCATCCACCAACATGAAAACTTGCATCAGGAGAAAGCCTTTGACTCCCTTCCTCATTCCTGGACTTTGAACTTGTAGGATGCACTGGTGAATTAAAGTAGACAGGTGTGAGGAACTTCCAGGTGCGCTGAATTTCTTGTTGACTTCCCTGAATTAAATTTCCTACTGGGATTAGTCATTATAGTTCCTCTAAATAAAAAAACAACCACAAAAATGTTTTCTGTAACTAAAAAGTTAATCATGTTCTACTTGTTTTATTGAACATATGCCGAGTGGAGATGACGAATATATGGAACAGAGTAGAAGATAAATGTGACTTGAAGTACACCGACTCAGAAACAAATTGCTCCCACTTGATTTTTTTCACAATACAGTTAAAATAATTCATCAGATTACCTGAATCACAGTGACCTGTGGAAAACCATAGTAATTTTTGAATGAACGACAGATAATCCACCAAAGCTGATTCCAGAAAGGGGTGACACACGTGATCTCCTCCAAGGCCGAGATCCTCCCTGCCCTCTGTTCCCCCAAGAGTGGATCCAGTTCAGTTCTCGTTTCTCTGTATAAGGAGGACTGTACATACATGTTGGCTAATTTTTCTGTGACTTGGTGCCGTCTCTCAGAAAGTTCTGTATATATGTCAGCTTTGGGATAAAAGTGGATAAAGACAAGAAGCAGTTAGACAATAATTTAACTGATTTTTCTGAGACACTTTTCATGAATAACACATAAATTATGTACTAGTTTTTCTCTGAGACAGTCTCATGTACCCTAGGATGTAGCATGAATCTTAAAGAGTCTTATTAACAAAAACAAACCCAGAGCCAGGTATTGGGGTGAATGCTGGAAGATCAGAGAAGCAGAACAAGCCACAGCTACCTCACCTGGCCAACTTCTCAGCTGACCCTGTTTCCTCAGACTGGAAGCCTCTGAGTCCTTATCCAAATGAATCTCAGCTGAACTGCTTCTAGAAAGACTGAAAGCTTAACCAGTCAAAAGCTTCTAGTTTCTGGTCTTCACACCTTATATACCTTTCTGCTTTCTGCCATCACTCCCTGGGATTAAAGGCTCACTTTCTGGGATTAAAGGCATGAGTCACCATGCTTGGCTATTTCCAGTGTGGCCTTGAACTCACAGAGATCCATGCCTCCAGAAGGCTAGGATTAAAGGTGTGAGTGCCACCATTTTCTAGCCTCTGTATCTAGTGGCTGTTCTGTTTTCTGACCCCAGATAAGTTTATTAGGGTGCACAATATTTTGGGGAACAAAATACCACCACACTAGACTTGGCTCAAAGTTTGCTAAGAAGCCAAGGGTGACCTTAAAACTTCTCCAGGTCCTCCTGTGTCTGTCTCAAAGGCTGAGATGACAGGCATGCACTTCACACACACATATGTGGTGCTAGGTACCAAACTGAAGGCTTGGTGCATGCAAGGCAAGGACACTACCAGCTGACTTACATCTTCAACTCACCAAATTTTGAGCATAATGAAATTACCTCTGTGTAATTCCTTAACAGATTAGAAGTGTCCCTAACTGACCTGACTACTGTCATTATCCCATGGATGCAGCAAACTGAATGACCTCTTCCCATCTGGACCCCAAGTCTTAACAAAGTCTTCCTACCCTTCTTAACATAAAAGTCTGGTGCCTGGTTTTTGCCACATGTGAATGTATGTGCAAGTGTAAAAACTGCCAAGTATCATGTTGTTTAAATGGTATAAACAAAGCCAGGCACTGTGACATAACCCTGTAATACCTATATTTGGAGGTGAGGTAGAAAGAGCACACATTTAAGGCCAGCCTGGCTACATAAGCAAACAACATCTAAAACATTAACAAGGATAATATGACAAACAATAGGTACATTTACCTTCTAACAGAACTTTCCTTGACAACTGACAGTATCATATAAATGGTCTATTATAATTTAAATATAAAACACCAAAAACAACAGACAGAAAACACTATTAGCTAATTTTAGGACACTGAATTAACATATAAAGCTACTATCTAAAGAACCACACTACTGTGTTATAATGAAATCAGTTAGGCAAAAAATCTGACTCTAGAAGATTCACATACCATTATGGCCTTCTTCCTCTGTGTCTAATATAGCAGAGAAACCTCCATTAATGATGTCCAGGAAGAAGTCTGCAGGGTTGTTGTGGGGATCATATTCATAACCTACAAAGAAGTTGGCCAAGAACACAAACTTGAGGACCCTCTTTCAGAGAGTGGGATGGGGAGGGGAGACAGAATCTAAGAGCTTCTTCTTCTTCTTGCCCCTCCCCCACTAACTTATCCTTTCCTCTTGCACATACCCTCATAATATTTCAAAAATATCTGCTCCCCAGTATAATATAAACATATATGTATATACACATTTATGAATATATATGTATGCTGATGTGTATGTTCTACAAACATATGTGAACTCTTTCTATGAAACAATCTTTTGAATTTGGCCTAAATTTTTATTGGACTCCAAAGACTCACAAACGTTTACACTTTTAAATGACAAAGATTAATCAAAAACAAAGAGTGATACGGAGAGCTGCTGGTCAATGGCTTTTACAGCGGCCACAAGAACATACAGCAGACGGCAATTAATAACTCCGGTGTCAACCCTCCAGAGGAATAACTCTCTGATGGAGGAATCTCACTAAGCAAGGCTTATGGGCCCCAAAATTCTGACAGCCAGGTCTGTCTGTCATTTCTCTCATGTGCCACTATGTTTCTTCCCTAAAAACAGCTGTGGTGTCTCCCCAGTGCCTATGACACTGTTGCTTCTGTCTGTAATTCCACCTGTGCAAAAAGAGCTGTGGTGTCTCCCCAAAACCTGCACAGTGATGTGTGATCTCATACAATATGTACATGTGATATCATGATCACATCTCAATGTTATGGTCACTTATATCTGTGGACTGCCTGAAGATGACCCATCATTAAGCTGTATAATTTTGATATGTAGAAAATATACTAGGATATGCTTTAAAATTAGATCTATTATTCCATGAGGACTGTAAGACACTTAGGCCCTGGTTTTTATCACTAGCACAGACTTACATAAAGAAAACAACAATTTCTTCTCTGTTGTAAGACATGCTACATATAATTGGCTGATTTTGAGCCTCAGAGCAAATTCAAACTAGACTCAATGCTTCCTAAGATAAACCTCCAGAGAAAATATGCAAGGTATTCCCAGGTGTCTATTGTAGAACCAAGGCCAGACACAAAACAACATTGGTGCCAGTTCCCTGCTTGATAAGTCTGGCTGGTAAAGACCTACACCCTAAAAAATCCCTCAGCAGCTTATCTCACTGGGCACTGTGCCCCCAGCCTCAGGTCACAGCCTGAACCTTGCATGTGGGCATTGCCATGGTTACTCATGCCCTCAGATGTAACTTTTGTTACTTTCCATGGGATGGATATAAGAGGAGATAGAACAAAAAAAGAGGAAGAAGCTAGAGAAAAATAAAGAAAATTCCTCAGTATGTGTGTGAATCTGATTCCCTCAAACAAATAAGAGTTGTCCCTAAGTCCTACTACTCTGAAAGCATTCTTTTTGCAACCCTGGATGCAGTTCAGGGAGCTGGTCTCTCAGGCTGCTAGAGAGTGATCAAAAGCAAACATTTGAACCTATATTTGGAGGTACAATTATCCATAACTATATTTGTATTTCGCTAAAATGAAACTGACAGCATGAATCATTAAAAAATATTTCATCATCCAATCTGACTATGAAAAAAAACAGGCAGATACAAAAACATGAGTCCACAGAAGCCAGACTTAAGCCACTCTAGCCCCCAAGCATTGCCTAAACCTGAAACGCAAAGTTACTACTGACTTAAGTAACATCTCCACAGCTCCTCAGAGTCAGATCACACTAGGGGAAAACTGAAAACCACCATGTGTTAAATGAGCACGAACAGGATGATGCTGGGCTTTCCAAAGCTGTTCCAATGACAGATAACTGGGCCTGAGGCCAGCATGTTAATTAAGAGGGTCACCACAACTGGGATGCAGAACAAGAAGCTCAGTAAAAATACTGTAACACAGGCATGACACAGGACAGCAGAAAGAAAAGAGACCTGAACAACAAGCCTCTGCTGCACAACTAACAGAATCCTGTCACCAAATTAACCAAAGGTATTTAAAATGGAGAAACCCACACACAGTAAGTCTGCAGGAAGGTCAAGCAGTACTCCTGGGAAGCCCTGTTCTCTTCCTAGATCCTGAGAATGAAGGAGCTCTCACAGCAAAAGCCAGCCATACCTGCGGATGTGAAGTACTCCAACGCCTCTTGTGCAGGCCCGTGATACATGACTTTTCCTGAGGCCACTAAGGTGAGGCTATCAAAAAATCTGAAGATGGAGTACTGAGCCTGATTAATGGAGAAGATGATTGTCCGTCCCCTGATAGACATCCTAAGTTTAAAGAGGGAAAAGTCATAAGCCACTGGAACATCAAAAACTTGAAATTCTCAACAAAGTATTTTATTCCTGAAGTTATACTCCCTGTTCCCATTTCAGCTTGAATTTTCCTTAAAAACACTTCCTCTCACTTATATTATGCACCTGATAGATGTAGATGAATTTCTAAACAGTCTTATTAAATAAGAAACACAGAGCCAAATACAGGGGTAATAGCCGAAGAGATCAGAGCAAATAACCACGACTAGCCTTAGCTTACCACCACACAGTAGCTTCCACAGAGAGAGCTTCTTCCTGTCTGACCTGTGCTTTTATTGCCTTCCTGTTCTGCCTTCTCATTGGCTCTAACCCCAGCCACAAGACTTCCTCATCACTGCCTGTCTGTACAGACCTCCTGGTCTCTATGTTTGGTGCTGGGATTAAAGCCGCGTGTCACTACGCTTGGCTGTGTCCTTGACCACACAGGGACTCTGTCTGCCATTTGATCAGATTAAGGGTGTGTGCTACCACCATCTGATCATTGGTTTAATTCCTGAACTACCATTTTAAGAAGTCATATCTTCTGTTAGGAGAAACAATAACCCCAAATGCTGTTTAAAACTGATTTGAAAATATGTTTATAAAAGCTGGATATGGTGGCATATGTGTCCTGGACTGACCAGCTCAGCTACCACCCAGGCACACATCCAGGGCTTTGAGTTTGCCCAACCCAACATCTACCCCATCTGTGACCTGCTGTAGCACATGTAGGGACTGATCCTGCAGAACCATAGCTGCAGGATCTCCATGACTCAGGGTAGCAGCAGGACATCCCAGAGGAGTTTCACTGAGGGTCCTGCATTGATGGTGTACCAGAAGCCAGAGGCCTTGAACCTCACCAACAACTGGTTATACATGTAAAGCTGTTTGGACAGAAGGGTCTACTCCATGACATGCTACAGCTCCCAGTGCCACTAATACAAATGAAGAGGAGATGGGGAGGGGGAGAGACAGAGGAGTGAAGTGTTTGTTTTTGTTTCTTTTTTTCTCAGCAGGACAACTGGTTGGTAGCAACAAGATAAGGAGCAGAATAATGACATAACAGCTGAATGTTTTCCCTGTCCGACTGTTAATAAATCACAAAAGGAAAATTGTAATTTCATGTGACATAACCCAGATCCACCAGCATGGTTAGATGATCAAGATTAAAGCCAGGGAAGTGAGATGGATCATTGGGTAGAGACACTTGATGCCAAGTCTAGAGACCTAAGTTCAGTTCCCAGAACCCTGATGGTGGAAGGAGAAAGTCAGCTCCTTGAGTTGTCCTCTAACCTCTACAGATATGCTACACATGTACACACGCATACATGTACACACACATGTACACACACATAAAACACACACACATAAAACACACACACATAAAACACACACACATGTACACACACACATAAAACACACACACATGTACACACACACATAAAACACACACATGTACACACATACATGTACACACACACATGTACACACACACATGTACACACACACATAAAACACACACACATAAAACACACACACATGTACACACACATAAAACACACACACATGTACACACACATAAAACACACACACATAAAACACACACACATAAAACACACACACATGTACACACACATAAAACACACACACATAAAACACACACACATAAAACACACACATAAAACACACACAATAAAAAAAAAAGTTTTAAAAAAAAGTATTCTACCACGAGGATGCACTTCCAGGAGTGTTGGAGACCAAGGAGAACACAGCATATCAGGACCTGAGTCTGCTCCAAGAACCCTGGGAGAAACCACACTTAGGATGACCCATGCAATGCACTAAGACTAGCCATGGCATGAGACACAGGACAGAGAGAAGCGTTCCATACTGAAAATGACAAGAACTTGATCTTAGAGTGTCCTGAAGCAGACAGGAGAGGGGACAGACAGGGAAGGTGTGACACCTGAGGAGTCTACAGACTAGAAGGTGACAAGGCCCCAGGTGTTGACTTCCTCACCGGGAAGGTGCAATGGTGGATGATGTGGTTCTTGGAGGGACAGGCAGGAGTGGTTAGGGTGATGGACCATGATGTCAGAACAAAACAAAGAACAAGGGGAAGGAAGGACTGACAGAGAGTGCAGTAAAGTTCAACAGCCAGGAGCCTAGGTCGTGGGAATGGGACAGTCCTTATATGGTTCTTGGAGTTATTCACTCAGTTTGAAATTCTTACTAATTTTTAAAATGAAAAAATTGAACTGTTACATTTTTATTTTGAATGTTTCAGCTGCAGACTTCTTTCTTGAGAGAAGGAAATATCACTTCTTTTATTTCATTCTTCCCCAGGTTCAGGACCCAGAGCTTAGGAATCATTCCCTCAGCCACCACATCCAGGGCTAATCCCAGAGACAATGCTATTTATTCCATCTTCAAAGCACTCCAGAACCAACCATTTTCTAGCTAAGGAATCCCCACCTCTCAGCTTCTTGCTGACACTTTACATCCCCATGATGAAACTGCACAACCTTCTCCATGATGCATGCTCTGCTCTAAACTCAGAAGCCTTCCCACATCCCCTGCCATGGACACCTTAGTCCTTACAGTGGCCCAGGTGGTCCAGGCAATCTACATCCAACCCAAACAATCCCCTCACTTCAACCGTCAATGTGGAGGGCTGAATTGTGTCCTTCCAAAGACTCATTGGTTGAAGTCCTCACATCTAAGAATTTAGAATGTGGTTACAATGTCGTTTAAAGACAAGAGTCTTTAAAATGGTAATTAAGTTTAAATGAACTTCCTAGTGTGTACTAATGTAACTGCTGTCCATTTAAGGGATCAGGGCATAAACACATGAAGAGGAAGGAGACACCATCCACAACTCAGTGACCGACGCCTCAGGAGACACAACCTGTGGATACTTTAATATCTGGCTTCTGGGATCCAGAACTATAATAAATTTAACTTCTATCAAGTCACCCAGTTTGGGGGGTCTTTAGTAGTACACTAGCAACTTTTCATCCCCTCAGGCCACCGGGTCTAGTCAACTTGGGCTATTTAATGTTCCAGACACCTCGAACATGCTTTGCCTCAGAACAAATGCATTTCCCCTCTGTACAGCACTCTGTTCAGATCTCACACACTCACATCCAGCTCACTTGTCACATGCTTGCGGGTTATGAGGACATTTATTTAAAGCAGTGCTCCACCTTCCCCACAGCCATCTTTCCCTATGCTCTTGTCTCATTGTTCTTGATGTGTGTTCCTTGTTAATTGAAGTTTCCCTCTAATAAAAAAGGAAGAAATTCTGATGCTTACTTCTGAATCTCCTGCACCAAAAATACACACAAGTGACCAGGTATTAAGTGAATAAAACTTAATGTTCCTTCAGCACTTACCTTCTCAGGACCGAGATGACATCAGTCGTAGTGTTCAAGTCTAAGCCAGTGGTGGGCTCATCCAAGAACAGAATGGGATGCTCTGCGACCAGCTCCATTGCTATACTGGTCCTTTTCCTGAGCTCCTTAGATCTAGGCTAGAGCACCAACAACCATCATTATCAAGAAGAACAACCACAGTCATTGTCATTTGGTGAACTACACTGTTCCAGCAATAAAAGGTTTTGTTATGTCTTTATCCTGAGGAGCAGAGTATGGGCACCTGGGAGAAGAAGAACTTTTCTCTTTTCCAAGTGAGTAGAAAGAGGCTCAGGCCAGACTTGACATGAAATGTAGATGTAACCAACCGTCTTATTAAATAAGAAACACAGAGCCAATACAGAGATGAAAGCCAAGAGGTCCGAGCAATAGCTAAGAGCTAAAAACCTTACCCTTCACTGTCGCTGTACCTCTCCGAAAGAGACCTACTTCCTGTCTTTTTATAGTGTTTCTGTTCTGCCTTCTCATTGGTTGTAAACCCAAACACATGACTGCCTCATCACTGCCTCTCTGCACAGACCTCCAGGTCTTCTATGGTTAGTATTGTGATTAAAGGCGTGTGTCTCCAATACTAGCTGTATCTTTGAAGACACAGAGATCTACCTAGCTCTGCCTACCAAGTTCTGGGATTAAAGGCGTGCACCACCACCGCCCAGCTTTTGCTATGGCTCTATAGCTCTGATCTGATCCCCAGACAACTTTATTTATTAACATACAAATCACATTTTAATACAAATAAAATATCACTATAATGAAGCCCATGCTAATGACAGTTACTATTTGTTGTTTACCAAGTCACATGTTCTAGGATAATGAGTTATCACACTCCAAGACTGGCACAGTGAGATCTCTGTCGAAGGAACGAGGAAGACGGGACAGGAGAAGATGAAGTATCTCTAGTAATTTAGTAGTCATTTAACACCCTCCCAACACACACAGGACACACACAAGAAAGGCACTCTACACAACACACAGGCACATACACACACAGGCATGTGAACACACAAGTGAACACACACACACTATCATTTTGATATTTAAGAATAGAGTTTATAGGTAAGCAGATGTCCTTATTTTTATGGATGAAGAGTAATTAAGTACTCAGGAGGAAGATACTCCTAATGTTCTTTTATAATGCCGCCGTGAGAAACAGCTTTAGTGAGCATGATGTTGTAAACACTCATGGGCCCAGGAGGCTGGTATTAGCACTGTACTATAGTGCGGGCTATATAACAGTCAAACTTTTGGAGTAATGACCTATTGCCTCTACATTTATTAAATCAAAATCTTATGAAAGGCTGAAGAGAAGTCTTAGCAGGGAAAAGTCACTTGCCACACATGCCTGAAGCCTAGGTTCATTCCCTGGAACTCATATATAAAGCTATATGCAGTGGAATGCATCCATAATTCCATCAGGATGTAACTACAGTGAAATGGGAGGCGGGTCAGGAGCATCAGGCATGTGTGTAGAGCATCAGTAGAACAAGACAGACCCTGATTTACAAACAAGGTGGAGGAGAGAAAGGACCTTTGACAGTGGTGTCCTACGACCTACACATGTGTGCTATGGCATTCAAGTGGCCACACGCGTGAGCTCGCACACACGCACACACGAACACAGGCATACACACATACACATTTTTTAAAGTAATCATAAAAATTATATTAAAGTTCTTGCAATATATTACATTTCATAACTTCAAGAAGTTATATAAACATCTTCATATGTTGTCCCTAAAAAAACAAGTAAACAACTTAGGGCAATGACTAATTATTGTTAAAAACAGAACAAAAGGAAGAAGTTTATTGTAGACATAAAACTATGTAAATAAACAGAGCCAAAGCAAACAAAATTCCATCAGTTAGGAAAAAGAAAGCATGGTGAATGTGAGCTTTTCTATTAAACTTCCCAACAAGATGAACATCTCATAAACGACTGTGGAGAAGTATTGTGGGAATCAACAGCCAGTACCTTCCTGTTCCTCACTGCCTCTAAGGAGGGGTCACCACAGGAGTTAATCCATGAGAATCATATTCTGGGGAGCCCATTTCCATCCATACCACCAAATGTCTGCTCAGCAGACATCTATGTATAATCTTCTCAATGAGTTCATGTCACTGTGAGAGACAGGATGGTTTGGAGGACACAAGAAGAGGGAAATAACCCTGATGTTGAAAAACTCTAGGCATATAATAAATTAAATGCCTGATCAAGTTCTGTAAACAATGTAATCATAAACATTTGGGGACTGCAAATGGTTATAGACCTGACAGGCTGAGGATATCAACATTTTAGTTAAGAATGGAATTGTTAAATCAGCAGATATCACTAATTTTTAAAGATTAAGAATAGTTAAGTATTTAGGAATAAAGCATTACATAATGGTCTTTTAAAATATGTTACTAGAAACTAGTTAGTTATGACACAGTTAGCGGTGAAGTTCACCACTTATCTATTACCCCTCCTGATCCTACACAAATCCTCACAGGAGTCACCAGGTCCACTCTGTTGCTCTTGCTCAAGTTTCTATCATTAAAGCCTAACACAGGAGCTGGGAAAAAATATTGACAGAAGATAAGGAAGGAGGGAGCAGGGGCAAAAGGAAATCCTAGATTTCCATCCAGTTACTATAAAATGATCTTGATAAAAGTAAAGAAGGAGTGAATGGTTTATTTCAGCATAAAATTTAAAAGTACAGTCAACCATTGCAGGGAAGTCCAGGCAGGAAGCTGATGCAGCTGGTTACAGCCAGTCAAGAGCACAGAGAGGATGAATACATGCAAGCCTGTCAGTGTTCAACCCACTTTCCCCATTCTCATGACACCCAGGATCCAAACACAAAGAATGGTGCTGCCTGAGTGGGCTGGGTCTTTCCACATCGCTTAACTCAATCAAGACAGTCACCTCAGAAATGCCCACAAGCCAACTGACTACAATTCCTCATTGAGACTCTCTTCTAGATGATTCCAGGTGACTCCAGACTGTGTCAAGGTGACAGTTGACACTAGCCACCACAGACAGGATGGGATAAAAACACAGAAAGGCTACAGAAAATAACAAGCACTGAACAAGTCAAAAGGAAATGCTAAAGAGACCAGGTACAACCCTGGAGGAAATAAATACAGAGTGAAACACAGAGCCAGAGTCCTCAATCCCAGGTCATATGTCAGTCCAGAAAACATTCTGAAACAGCAAAGGGACAAGTCCTCAGGGAAGAGACAATAAACAGAAGAATACACTTGTCAGATTCTCCATGAGTCAAGAGTTTAAGGCTGAGGAAGAGGAGGCTCATGTGAGGAAACTTGGAAATGGCCATGTGAGGAACACTTCCCTTCTGGATCATACTCCATTCCCAGGTTTAACCATTGCTAAGAAGGCTTCCCAGCTCAATCTCCACTTTACATCATGTAACCAGTCACTTACTCATTAATACAGAGAGCAGCCGCCTGGACCACACACATTAGAGGAAACTGATAATGGAGGGTCATATTATCAACACCGGTATTTTTATATATTTTTTTTGGCTCTGAGTTTTTCAAGATTTTTCTTCACATTACCTTGACATTTTCCACTTTATCCAGATGCAGAAGTTCAAGGATCTCATCAATTCGCCTTCTTCTTTCATCTCTTGTTACAGTCATTGGGAGTCGAAGAGCTGCTGAGAACTCTATGTTGTCTCTCACAGTCACAGTTTGCATCACCTCATCATTCTTAAGGTTAAATAGTATTTCAATTAAATATGGTTATCACTAAGACAAACATTTTAACAAATATAACCTAATCCTCATATAAACTACACACAATGTAATACTCTACTGAAAAATAAGCTTTCAGTGTTACTAATCTCAAGTCCAGAGCCTGAAGAAATCATTTCACGCCCCCCTTCCCATTTGCCTCCCAAGAGATTTAGGTGACTGCTACCTGCAATTATTGGCAGAAAACATCTTCTAAGCAGTGGAGAAAGATGAAGGAACGGCAAAGTCAGACAACAGCAGTCTTTGTAGAATTAAATCCCAGCTGCAGTTACTAATGCTGTACCACAGCTGTCAGACTCCAATCCCTCCCCATCCTCCTATTTAATAATGCCAGCCTCAGGCTAATGAGTCACTAGGAAAAGCTGGTGGAGAGAAAGTTGGGCCTGTATTCTGTCATATATTTTATTGGAAACACACAAATCTATAAGCTGAGCATCTACCCATACAGAAGAAGGGGAAATCTAAAATTCCAAACCCACCAACACTTACTTGTGGTACATAACCAGAAGTACATTTGAAAGTAGCAGGTTGAGGTTTCCCATTTATCAAAATATCTCCTGATAATCCACGTGGATCTTTCCTTGCAGCTAAGACATCCAATAACCTACAAAGGGTTATATATGTTGTATAGTTTACTTTCTCCCTTCAGTAAAAGCTATTACCTTTTAGCTACTCAAAAAACAAAAATTCTGCATATCATAAGTTTAACTGAAATCACACACACACACACACACACACACACACACACACACACACACACACACACACACACATACTGCATTCTGCTCATTATGTGCTCTAATACAGCCCAGAATTATAAATGCAAGACATGATCCACGTGACCATCCCTCCCTGCAATCTGACCTTGGGACTCAAACTTGTAATGGGCTGCTTTTTTTTGAGAATTGGGCCTAGTGATGATTTCTTGTTCCCAGAAAACTTTGCTTCATCTTTCTAATTTTAATACTATCTCCTCCACATGAAATAATCCTATGACCCAACACCACATACAATCACTGTATCATTTCCTATCAGTAGAGTGGACCTAGTAAGACTTTCTGTTCTTGGCAGAAAATTGAATGCATCATCCTGCACGGTATCCACAGCATGTGGGACTTACAGACTCACACATATGCACTCACAGATATACTCACACAATACTTACAGACTCACACATACATACTCACAGATATATTTACACAATACTTAGAGACTCACACATATATACTCACAGGTACACTCACAATACTTACAGACTCACACATATACAATCACACAATACATAAATAACCCCTGTGGAAGTGATTTTACAGCACAGAAACTGGATACAAAGGGCTCGCATGTGCTTTCCGTTATACTCACCAAGATCGGCTCCCATCTTCCGGTCCCATGATGGCATTGAGGCCAGGTCTCATGATCCCACTGTAAGCACAAAGTCATACTTGGGTGATTTTCTATTTAAAAGAAGTTATATTAGCTTAGTGTCTACAGTGAATAGTCTATTGAAATTGGATGGAATTGTACACACATAATAAGTACAAACTCATAGGAAATTTTTAAATATTAATAGAGGTCTATTATTTATGAAAGATGTTGAATGCTAGAGGGGACTCCTCAGAAATATGCCTCAAATATCACAAAATCCTTTTTGTTTATTATTTAAATGACTTCTCTTTTTAAAACATGGTGCATCTAAGTTCAGTGTTCCTTGAAGCAAGCAGCAGGTTCTCATGAAGACTCTGTTACACATATGGGCTTTATGTGTCAAGTACACAACAGCTTTTTGTTCATGTTTGATGATCAGTATCTTCATATAGCCCTGCTTGCTGCCTCGTAAACCTCATCACAACAAACCAATTATTCATGGGATATCAGTAGCAGTGTCACTACTATTAAAATAGGATCAAACAAAAATCAATGCATCTTAAATAGAAATCCAAAAACTAGAAAGAAGCTCTCCAAAGGACAGGAGAGAATTGCCAAGTTTAACATTCAAAACAAAACAAATCACACCTTAATCAAAATAGGAAAGTTAAATACAAAACCAAAGAATGATGACTTCCTTTCCTAATAATGTGATTAGAATACTCTCAGTTTAGAATTGGGAGATATCCCTCAAATAGAGGACATTCTTCATTGATGTATAGGTACAGCACAAACACAAGGTATGTCAGAAAACTGACTGAATCACAGTAGTTAATATTCAGATTAAAAAGGCATATTCTTATGGAAAACTTAGCTACATTCCTATTTCTTATTTCATATCCAGACAATGTGTCAATCCTTTGCCCTGCCCATTGCCCTCTTAGTAAGAAAATGATGGAAGTTCTGGTGGAGGAGCAGAAATGACCAGTGCCCAAGAACAGAGGCCATGGTTGGGGTTGGGAGGAAGAGTCTATACAGACAGAGCGGGGAAATCTTGGTGTGTGTGCTCTGTCCTCAGAATTTGGTCAGAAGCAAGCCTTCTCTGTGTTATGGAACAATGTGTGGAATGTTGGTTTTAGCTCTTCTTAGCTCTTAATGAATTTTGAGCAAATACACGAGGACCTGGACTTTCTGCTGTTGGGACTTCCTCATTGCTTCCATCTCATCACTTGTAACTGACCCAGACAGCCTGTTAGAAACCCTCAGTTCAGTTATGAGAGTGCATGTGCGTACAGACACATATACAGTTCTTTTATATATTCAAATTTCTAGGTATTATATTTTCAATATTTCCTCATCATACTTTGATTTTAATAGTGTGTCTTTGATATTGTGTTTTAATCCCTAATTGAATTTTATTGAATTAAAATTATTTCTCAGAGTGTTTCTGGTGTGTAATATGTCTAAGGGATTGTCAAGCTTGCTTGTGTTTTCAAAAAACCAACTTTTGTGTCATTAATCCAATACATTGTTCTTTTAGTCTCCATCTCATTAATTTCACTGTCATTGTGAACCTATCTGCATATGAAAAGGTGAGGCTGGAGGATGGTTCAATGGGTGAGTCACTTGCTGTGCAAGGAGGGGGACCTAAGTTAAACACCCAGAATTCACATGACCTTGGGTGCAGTAGTGGGCACCTGTAACTCCGTGCTCTATGGAGAGATGGAGACAGAGACAGGAGAATCCCAGGACTCTTGCAGGCTGCTAGCCTGGCATACCCAGCAGTGAACAGTGAGAGACTCTGTCTGCAACATGGTAGAAGGTGAAGACCAGTGCTCAAGGTTGTCTTGTGATGGCCTTGTGCCATGGGTGTGTCATAGCGTCCTCACATCTGCACATGTGAACACATACTCACACATACACTTATACACACATGTGAACAGATATATACATGAACACACATACACTTAAACACACACTAAACAGAGATATACATTGAGTATACACACATACACTTATACACACATGTGAACAGATATAAGCACATACACTTAAACACACACTAAACAGATATATACACTGAACACACACAAACACATACACATGCACACACATAGCTTATGATAATAGACAACTTGTTGAAAAAGTTATAAAATATGCTGATCTCTTTAGTTCATGCACATACTTGATATTAGATAGTCTTCTTATCACCTCTGTTTTTTTACGAAATGGAAAGCCACTCTGCACAGTTTCTCCATAGCTGATGTTATGAAAACTCAACACAGCCTCTCCAGTCAATGTGTCCGGGTCACTGGTGTCCATTCCAGGAAGGTCACTGGGATTTCTTTCTATCATCGGGATTGTAACAGGGTTATTATTGGAAGACATCTCCAGAGGTTCTTCCTTCCTGTAGAAGGAACAGCAGTAGTGAATTGATGGTCCACACAAGCAACATTATTGCACAGCACAGGACACTTCAGGATTGTTTTAAACTGCGCAGTCCTAGGCAGATTCCTTCTTGATGTACAGTTCATGTGACTGTGATTACCTAAGGACCCAATGAGAAGCAGACAGAACTGAGTACATAGACTCTGCTTAGACACCAAATTCCTAAGAAACAAATGAGCCCTAATGAGCAGAGTATAAACGTGATTCATAATTCATAAAGGAAGAAGGGGACAGATGAGGGGGCAGATTTGTCTTACTTGAAAAGCATATTATGATACAATGTAAGTTCAGATGTAGACTACATGACCACATTACCACATGTGTGTGCATGTGTTTGTGTGTGTGTGTGTGTGCATGTGTGTGTGTGTATGTGTGTGCATGGGTTTGTATGTGTGTGTGCATGTGCATGGGTTTGTGTGTGTGTGTGTGCGTGTGCATGTGTGTGTCTGATTATGGGGTATAACATAATAATAAGTTGCCCTTGCACAGCGATCAGGAGAAATTTCTGGTATTTCCGACTCAGACTGTACCTCTGGTCATCAGGCATCTTCAGACCCCAAGAAGATGAACTGCTGACAATGACATCATCATTGCGGGAAGGTAAATGTCGAAATTCCAGCAAGACTTAGATTTTAAGATGACAATGATTGGACACCAAATCAGTAGCTAAGCAGCTTAAGACTTTCAAAGAAAAACAATACAAATGAAATTTAAATGTCTCATTTCACAAGTTATTAATGTCTGCTTTAAAGTAAGACCTTTAGTGAACAGAGCTTGTCAAACAGTTTAAAATACCATCTTCAACACAGCTAGTTTTCCTTTCTAAGAGTTGACATCTTGGTGGGGAGCTCCTGCCTGTGAGGGACCAGCCGCTCAGGCAAGCTTCCTCCAGGAGCAACCTTAAAGCAGACAGGGTGGGAGGCAGCTGTGTGAAGAGCTCTGATGACATCAACCAGAGCAGCCAGGGCTGAGGGACAGCAGCACTGGAGCCAGCCCAGCCCCCTCCTGCCTTCCCTCCTGCCATGGGCACATAAATCCTCAAAAGTACAGGGCTAGTCCAGGAAAGGCAGGAAAACAAAACCTGCTAAACACATCTGCCAGATACCCTGTTATTCCTGGGGAAACCATTAGCAATCTGTCACCAGGCAAACCTGAATCCTCAGAACAATGGCATGCTCTAAACCCTGTGCCTTGAGGTCCAGAGGGATGAGGCTTTGGAAATTCAGACAAACCAAATTATGGGGCCAAGCCTCTGTCTGCCACATGAGTGTGCTGTACTCACACATTGCTGAAAGAATGTTAAATCTTTCCTGTTCAAAAATGTTGTCCAAAATTTCAATTACAAATTTCTAGGCATGTCAATAAAGAAGATTAAATATTCCTGAAGTGAGATCATTGAAAAAGGTTCTCAAGTAATCTAGACTGCGATTAGCAATCATAAATTATATGACAATTGATTGCTACACTCAAAGATAGAAAGGAATTACAGATTTCTTATCACAGGACACAAAATCTGCTTTAAAAACCATCATAATTAAGATTTCAGAAATGCATTTAGCAACCACTTAAACACTGATAGATTAAGAAGGAGAACTAGAGAAATACATGACTGATATTGAAATGAAATCCATTCTGAATGAGAATTACCACATGAAAAAAGAAGCTCCAAGTTGAAAAGACAGAGAGCTACATGAGAGCGTAAGAAGTCTGCAGGACTTGACAACAGGGTCTGAAGTACCTGAACAAGATCGCCTGTGAGGGGGAACCTGCAGAAGACCACTAGCACATAGAGAAACACTGGCCTGGGCCTGAGAGGACAGGTCAGTGCATGTTCAGCATGTGTGAGGCCAGGGTAGCAACTCCAAGGTCAAACAGGCTGCCCTGGTGACAACAGACTGTCAGGAGGAACCCATCACTCTCTGGAGCCTTAAATCCAGCTCGGGTATTCCACCTGACACTGTCTCCTCCTGCATGGCATGGGATAAACACATGGAATCAATCACTGTCATGGGGATGCCATGGGAAAAACACGCATGGATACACTCATGTCATCCACATGTCAGATTATCGAAGAACAATGCTTTCACAAGCTGCATCAACTTTCTTGCCTTTCATTTCCCGGGCACTTGTGCTTTTTTGTTTGTTTGGTTGGTTTTGTTTGCTTTGTTTTGTTTTGTTTTTGAGACTTGTGCTTTTGGCAAGTGTAAACTGCTTCCTTCCAATACTATTGACCAATATTTTCTCTCAGATCACAGACTGCATTGAACACAGTATCAAGAAAGGTTAAAGCGGTGCAAGGTTTAAAGCAGAGTTGTGGAAGGAAAGGTAGAGTTGATACACATGCAGCAGAGAGAGCTATTCTGGAACAGGGTGGCCAATAAATACTCAGTTGGTTCAAGACACAGTGTCAGTTCAAGTTACAGAGATGGTTCAGGGACAGATTGCTCCAAAGCACAGAGCTGACTCCAGGCACAAGGGGTCTGAACCACTTAGGGCTGGTCATGGTGAGCAGAAGTCCTGGGGTCAGAGTTGAGAGTCTGTTGCCTTGTGTCTAGTGATGCACACATCAGGTGGCCTGATGATAGCTCAGTGGGTGTGATCCAAGTGAGGACAGGACAGCGCTCATTGTTCTGGGGTTCTGGACAAGCACACAAGCTTGGTTTCCTAGGCAAGGTCTTCGAACATCCATGGGTCTAGATGTTCCTAGCTTGATATGCTTATAGGTAAGATAATTTATTTGTATTAATAAGTTATTTATCAATCTATGTTTTACTTTGCTGGACACTTGCACACACAAGGTACAGAGTCATTTTATATCAGCATTTGCTTTCAAAATGAAGCAAACCATTGCGGTACAAAATGGAGTCACTCAGGGCAAGGCACACTCTGAAAACTACTGTCCTATATAATACAAAGGAACACAGATGGGCACAGCCCAAGCTTTACATACTCGGTCTCTCTCAGTGCTAGACCCAGGAGCTTCTATTCTCTGAGTTTGAGCTGTGGTGTGGATCCAAAATCATCAAGCACATGTCGTGGTGCCCTGGGATGCGCTGGGTGGTGGGCAGCCATGAGGGACAGTAGTGCAGGTGGGAGTGACTGACAGACACACTCCTGGATCAGGCTGTGGAGGCCTGAGGACAGGCAGCCCTGACTCCTGTACTGGGAATGACATGGCTCCTGTGGATGACTGCTGAGCCTGAGAGTTCTGAGCAGGTGTCTGGCAGATCTTTTGGTTTGTGAAACTGCCTCATGCTGCAATTTGTGTGCAGCAGACAGGGGCTGAGAACTCACAACCCAAGTTTTCACAATTACTCAGTTTCCACAGCTTCTTCCTTATTGCATGGTGGTTTGCTGTAACATGAATCTTAAAAAGTCTTATTAATAAAACAAACCCAGAGCCAGATATTGGGGTGAATGCTGAAAGATCAGAGAAACAGAACCAGCCACAGCTAATCTCACCTCAACAACCCCTCAGATATCAAAGTGAAAGTCTCTGTATCCTCATCCAAATGGATCTCAGCTGAACTGCTGCTCAAACGCCTAAAAGCTCTAGTTCCTGGTCCTCAGGCCTTATATACATTTCTGCTTCTTACATCAATTCCTGGGATTAAAGGCGTGAGTCACCATGCCTGGGTGTTTCCAGTGTGGCTTCGAACTCACAGAGATCCAAACGGATCTCTGCCTCCAGAATGCTAGGATTAAAGGTGTGTGTGTCACCTCTTTCTGGCCTCTATGTCTGTTCAGCGGCTGCTCTGTTCTCTGACCCCAGATAAGTTTATTAAGGTGCACAATATATTGGGGAACACAATATCACACAGTTTACTGCCAGATAGGATCTGAAAATGCTCCGGCACACAGCTCAGCTCCCAGGACTTCTCTCCATTGCAGAACTCCATGCTCTGTTTGGGATCCCTACTTCCCTCAAAGCATCTGGAAGACAAGGCTTTGTTTAGACAAACCCACAAACAGAAGTGCCTACCTGAATGACAGGCCACATGACCTCTAGGGCTAGCAGTGGCAAAGAATATACAAAGAAGTTCTGTAGTGTGAATGATGCTCTAGCACTATATTGTTTTAAATCTCTAGCTCTTTTCTCTTATTCTACTTTTCTTTTTTCTAATCTTACTTTCTACACCTTTTTGTTGTTGTGTATTTGAGACAGAGTTTCTCTGGGAAACCCTGGCTGTCGGGAACTCACTCTATATATTAGGCTGGCCTTATACTGCCTCTGCCTCCTGAGTGCTGGGATTAAAAGTATGCATCACCACCTCCTATCCATTATTTCATTATTCCCACTATCATTACTGTAGGAAGTTTGTGCTGGCATTGTTACTGTGGTTTATTTTCTGCACTATGACCAGTGCTGGGGATTAAGTCCTCTCTAGAAGGCAGCTTAACACATAAATCCTCACATTGATGTGTAAAATAGATTCCCTCCCACAGGTGAACAAACTACAACAAGAAAACACAAGAATGTGAGGAAACAACACTCCCCAAAGATCATAACAGGACAGCAACTGAATGTTTACATATTTAAATTAGGTAAGTGCTGAAGAATTCATTGAAGAGTTAACATTAAAAGGATTGCAACTTCAAAAAGACAGACAGCTGAAGGAAATAATCAAAACAATATAGGATGTGAGTGATAATAGAGAATTTTAAAAGATGAAAATTTTGGAAAACTGCAAATAAATTTTTTAAAATTCAGGAGAAAGCATCACCAACAGACTAAATTAACTGAAAGATAAAATGTCAGGGCCTCAAAGGTTAATGAGTTATTGATTTCAGAAAGGAATAAAGAAAAATTATGATGACCTCCAGGACATAATAGACAGACCAAATAGAAACATTATTTTGAACAGAATACTAAAGCAGAGACTAAAGATATGGAAAACCTATTCATTTAAGCAATATCATAAAATGTTCTGTATCTATTGAAAGATTAGGATGTCCAGA